CGAATATTCGCAATCCCCATCTGAATGAAATTTATGATGGAACAAAATCACAATATTTCACAATTCGTGTAAAATTTCTTACTTAGTCAGAAACATCCAAATCTCCAGAGATTGAATCAAACGCTTTTCAATAATTTGCTTAAGATCGGGATCAGCTTCTTGTTCATTGTAGAGAGATTCAACCCAATTCAGTAATTCAAAAAAATTCCGTCGCTCAAATAAACCAAGAAAGAATTTAGAAGTAACTTGGACGAAGCCGATAAGAAATAAGGTTGTTATAAGAAAATTCATGCTTAATTCATTTGATAGTATGTTAAGTAGACGCGACATTGAAAATATTATTCCAAAAAAGGGAGTAGCCAACAAATACACAATCAGCAGACGATTTTTCCATGGTCCGGATAAGATGTTGATCGTTAATGCCGATATTTGGTAATCAATCACTGGCTTTTCGCGATTGAACTTCTCCAAATGCTTGGATTCTTTCATTTTGCGCGTTGAGAGAAATGAATCCTTTCAGTTTCCAGGAGTATTTTGAACTGAAAAGCCAACCCTGAAACCATAAATGAAAACATTGACACACGCCTTGTTAGAGGAAAGAAGACAGTAAAGACGTAATTTGTTTTATTGGTAAAATATGCAAGACAAGATTCAGGTTCACAAGATTAAATTTTCATAGATTCAGGTGACGATTTCCTATGTGAAAAATCAGCGAGGTGACATAGAAGAGGACTTTATAAATATTTACTGATGTTTTGCTGAAGTAATTTGAACACCTTCCTCGTCGTTTAATGGTCTAATTGCTTTGTTTGTCGATAAATGATGGGAAAATAACCGCGTTTCCTTTTCCCTTTTCAGGTCTCAATTTTCTGCACTTTTCCCATTTTAACACCTTCGAGATTCTCTAATATTGCGTTTACTTAATTGGTTGTCCTACATTTTCTGCGCAAGTCATAATATTGACCACAATGTTAACAATGACACAAAGTTGGAACTTTCATTTGCTCGAAGAATATCAATAAATAATTGTAACGCATTTCCATTATTTTGAAATGAAATCAACTTACATTAAAAAATTAAAACTCTTAATTCAAGAGACTTTACGCGGTAAAATGCACCGAACCGCTGAACTATGGGTTTTCTGAACCTTATCTTCTTCATTCTAGCCAAGACAGAAGTTGAAAAAATGTATCCAACCACTTGAAGGGAATCACGGACATCATTATCTCGATCACGGTTGGTTTTCCTAATTCAAAAATCCTCTGAAAGTCGCAGATTCATAACAATAAAAGTCACAAAAACTTAACTTTTTCAAATGATTTTTTAAACGAAATATAGTTTAAGTGCAAGTGTAATTTTCTTTCACATAAATTTACTACAATGTTTTCCTTTTTGCCTTCCACTCTTCCAATTTGTCATAAGGAATGATTCCTATTATAGATTTAAAAGCTTCAAGTGTAATTCGATGTCCTACAAATCAAAGTGTTTTCTTTTCCTATTTCGTGCACATTTATTATTTAGTGTTTTTTCTAAATATTTATTTCACTCAAATTTTTGATAGAGTGATGTTAATATGAAAAGTTCCCTACGAAATGCTTGAATCGTTTCACTTGCTGAAAGAATACAATATTGCGCAGTAAGAAAAGGCCAGTTTGACGACCTGAACGAAGGCGTTCATGTTCACGTCATACATTCCGGCCGCTTTCAATCCGAAATCTTTCTGCGCCATCGCGAGGATGAGCAGAAATGTCTTCTGATCCTTCACGCTCAATTCGTACCAATTTGTCAGATAAAGAGTTTCCGAAAGTCTCTCGGTTTTCACTTTGATAAACTCACCGAACAAACACAGAAGTGAAATTTGAGAAAAACCAGCGCCACATAATGCATATGAAGAAATTTCATCACTAGAACTTCGGATGTAGAAAAACATTAACATCAACATTAAAGTACTTGTTGTTACCTGAACAAATGATGTCTTTTGAATGGTTTTGTCTAACAAATTCAAACCCTCGGTAATTTTAATTTGACGATTAATGATGACTTTCAGATAATTCGGAATTTCTTTAGTTTTCTTATCGATCAATTTCATGTAATCATTGAGAATATTCAAATCTGCCATAACTTGAATTCCTATGAAAATTATTCCCAAATCAACCGTCATTACAGCAATCGCAGAAGAACTAAGCAAGATTATTTGGATAATATACGTCACTTCATCCGGAACTGTATTTGGTCCCAGGATTTGCAGAAACAATCCCAAGTCGCTGTTTGGTCTCATTGCAGATGTGCCGCCTGTTCCAACTACGACGAATATTCGCAATCCCCATCTGAATGAAATTTATGATGGAACAAAATCACAATATTTCACAATTCGTGTAAAATTTCTTACTTAGTCAGAAACATCCAAATCTCCAGAGATTGAATCAAACGCTTTTCAATAATTTGCTTAAGATCGGGATCAGCTTCTTGTTCATTGTAGAGAGATTCAACCCAATTCAGTAATTCAAAAAAATTCCGTCGCTCAAATAAACCAAGAAAGAATTTAGAAGTAACTTGGACGAAGCCGATAAGAAATAAGGTTGTTATAAGAAAATTCATGCTTAATTCATTTGATAGTATGTTAAGTAGACGCGACATTGAAAATATTATTCCAAAAAAGGGAGAAGCCAACAAATACACAATCAGCAGACGATTTTTCCATGGTCCGGATAAGATGTTGATCGTTAATGCCGAAATTTGGAACTCAATCACTGGCTTTTCGCGATTGAACTTCTCCAAATGCTTGGATTCTTTCATTTTGCGCGTTGAGAGAAATGAATCCTTTCAGTTTCCAGGAGTATTTTGAACTGAAGAGACTTTCTGAATGAATTCCACTCTTATCGTAACAATTATGACGCGTGTATAGTTTTTCCATTTATTTGAAGAAGAATATCATTAATAAATTGTAACGCATAATTATCCATTATTTTTATAAATGAAATCGATCTTAGTTCGGAACAAACCAAAAACTCTTTAATATTATAACATACATTTATTGATTGTTGAATATAGTTGTATGTCAGATACGTAATTTATTTGCTTGTCATTGTAAGAATTATCGCTGAATACGAGATAGATAATTTAAGGATCTGCAATAAGTGAAGAGAAGTAATGAGCAAAATTACTGTGATTAAAGTGCCAAAAATAAATTCACCTGAACGACAGAGAAAAGCGAAACGTCGTACATTCCAGCGGCTTTGAGTCCAATTGGCTCACAAGACTTCATCATGATCGTTAAGAAGATTTTCTGATCTGTTGAACTCATTTCGTACCAATTTATTAAGTAGAGATTCTGGAAAATCTGCTCAGTTTGGTGACGAATGAATTCCCCAAAGAGGCACAAAAGTACAAGTTGAGTGAGAAGTACGAATAGAAGAACGTGCATAATTAGCATATCTTTAAAAAATTGTATACAGAAAATAATTACGAGGAAACAAACAGTGCTCATGATCAATTGGATTAGTGACATGAACTTCACTAATTCATTGAAAGTTCGCAGAATTCTGATCATTTCACTGTGTTTCTGCGCAATGCAAACCAAGAGATTTGGACATTTTTCCATTGCATCTTTATCGTCCAACTTCTTGATCATTGTGTTGATGATAGTGATGAATTTAATCACATAGATGCCGAGAATAATTATTCCGACGTCTGAAATTGCTGTCCAAAATCCGGCCGGAGACGTAGAAAGTATCTGTGCTATTGTGTAAGTGATACGATAATCAGGCTCTAAATTTGGGATTTGCATGAAGATTATGTCCTGGCTGACAAAAGTATATGTGTATGCAATTGCACAAATTCCATACATTGATAGATAAGCTCTGAAATTGAATAAATTCACACTTAATATTGTCCGCAAGCGTCGAAGATGCAATAAGTTTACGTGGAAAAAATTATAGAAAGCTGTCTTGCATCTGCAACTTCTTCGTCAACAGTCTGTCGAAGGATTTCATTCTCTTCATTTTCTGCACTCAAAGCTTCAATCCAATCCACGAGGCTTTGGCACTCGCGTAGAAAAGGAATTCCTCCGAAGTTCTTGAAGATTAGCAGAAGATAGCCAATTATAATAAGTATACCCCAAACTATTCTGAGAATGTCCATGTCCTTCTTGCTGGACAACATATCAAAGATGTGCGCGGATATGGAACAGCAGAGAAACAAAGAATATATCGTGCTACAAATGAAGATCAAATCGTATCTTGGCTCATTTCTCAGTGGCCGAAGAATTCGTGAAGTCACACAGAATTTGAGGAACGCGTGGAAGTCTAACACAAAAGCAACCATTTCTGAAGCCTTCTTGACTCACTTTAAGGAACAGAAATGAGGACTTAATGTTACAAAGATTCCCATACAGAATTCAAATAACATATTATGCATATTTTATGTTCTGTGGCAAAACAATATAAATTATTCAATCCAAATTCAATTCCCTGTCGGACAAGTTATCACTGACCGAATATTTGTACGCACAACGATATTTTGTTTAAGGTGAAACTATCATGAAATCGATGAAATGTTTTGGAATGTGTAATAAATAATTTCTTAATGAATAATACTATTTTATAATTTTTCTTCCCCATAATAATCATTTTCTTTCGGTTCAGTATCTAAACAATTTTCAGCTGAGAGAATATTTCAGAAGCGATTGCAAAAAGCTCCGGATAAAGCTCCAAATGCGTGTGAGATATTAGAAAAACAACGAGCGATGCGATTTTACCGTCTATCGCGTCTCCATTGGCATCGGCACACCTGAAGCATGGATGTGTAGCTGTGTTGGAATGGAGAGCGACACACACAGGCAGATCGCGAGGGAATGTGGAGAGATTCGTGGAATCTTACCTCTCAGTTCACTCGGCAAAAAGATCACACCCAACACAGAGCAGCAGTTTCCCGCGAGTGTTGGCGATCGCTGTGAGATTGCAGAGTGAACGTCGTGCTTATGAAAGTTGAGGTTCGTCGCTTCAGTTCGTTGGAGTCTTTCGTCGCGAAGGCATCTCGCAGTCGTCTCGATTTCTGTGTCTCGTCGGGCATCCTTTCTGGATCACTCAGTGTGCGAAGGCGTGCGTGGTGGAAAGTCAAGTGACAGTTGGGAAAAGTTGCTGGACAATTTGCTGGGCGAGAGAGTTGTGTGGAATCCAAGATTCCCAGTGGATTGTGAGTGAGTTTTGTGGAGAGGAGTTTCTCAAGCTCGTGACGCCACTCTGTGTCAATAGATTTTTAATATATTCAAGAGTTGGTGTTGCCGTGAAAAAAGGAAGGTCTCCCCATCAGATTCGCGCACAAGTGATTGTGTGTTTGCACTGGTGAACGACCAAGTCGCGCACACATCAAGTGAACCCATATGGAGCTGGAATTAAAGTGATTTTCTGGGTAGGTGAGTGACAAAATGAAGTCTCTGTCTCTCTCGCCGTGTGGAATAATTGCAAGCCAAGAGCTGAGATCTTTCTGCCCTGCAGCGAAATCACTGGCGGTGATAAAAACGCGAATTGTCTCAAACAGTGCCAGAGTTTAGATGAGGTTCTCTCTCTTCGGAGCCCCTCTCTTGCCCGTGCAATGTGCGTAATATTGAGATTGTGAACAGTTATGGTGCTCTCTTCTCCTCCAACCCAGCATTCTTTCCACTTCCACCCAGCCAACACAACAGCGAAAACTCGTATCGCTAAGCTCAAGTCTTCTCAAATTCATATGCTGAACTTTCGTGGACGTGGAATGTTTCTCTCTCTCCAGCACTCTTTTTTCCTTCTTCTCCCCACAACAATCTTCTTCTTCTCCACCTTCATCTAAATATCAAACGGAAGATTCAGCAATGAAAAGAATTTCTAATTCACGTCTTGTGAAAATTCCAACCTGTTCCCGTGCTCAGAGTTGGCTTATTATGTTCTAATATCACATGCTTAAGAGACATTTTCACGTAACGACTTTATCTTCAATCCCAATCTTGTTTATTCATATTCAAATTATAAAATCAGAATGACTAATTCCAGCCATTCTGTTTTTGCATTCAATTGAGCTTGACTCTCACGCGTGTGTAAACTTATGGATATTCGGTGATAAAAAGTTTTGTGGTGTTTAAAAATGCTAAGTATTTCGGATGCAAGAAGTCAAGACAAGACCGGTCAAGCAAGTTCTATATCCCAGCTTTCCAGTAAGTCTTCAATCGCTCCAAATAGGGAAAAGTTTAGATCAACATCCGCTCTGTTTCCGTGGCGTTGAGACTTCAGACTTCAGTCTGGACTCAACTTAAAGCAGACTTTTGCAGTATTGTGCTATTAAGAAAATAATATTTGATTCGTTTGTTTATCGTGATTTCAGCAATTTAGCACGAAGTGTAGCTTAGAAAAGAAAAGTAGAATTCTGATTTTATTTTAACAAGAAGTTGCAATAAAACCACAAAGATTCAGTCAAGTGTTGAAGACTTTCGGTGTAAACTTCTCAACACAAGAATCAAAAAATGAAGAGAGCCAGATGGGTTAATGAAAATTTTGCAGAATAATCGCGCCTCGCCTCTGTCTATTCACCACAAAAATCATCAATTGACCATCATGGAGAATTGGATGGAAAAAAGAGCGCGAGCGAGAGAGAAAATTGCCCATAGTTGAGGATGAGGTGAACAACCTGATAATCAATTTCAATTTAAGAAAACATTTCAAGAGTCCATTAGTCAAACTTCAATTACTAATAAGTGCAACATACAAGTTTCACCTGACCAAACAATAAAAATTTCTTCTTGTGGACTCTCTGTGCTCTCACCCACGATAAAAACTGATGATTTCATACATTCTCCATGTGCGTAGAGAAGATGGAATTTCCAGTACACAATCTCTCCTCGTCTGTCTCTCTCTCTCGCTCAAACAATAATTAATAGTGTGTGGACGATTTTCCCTACGCCTCTCAATGCTTCCTGACTTGAGAAATCAGTGCCGCATTGTTGATTATGTGTTCGATTATTGAGATTCTTGCGAATTCCAGACTCTTGTGCCTCCTTTTTTGCATATTATGTGGACGAACAGCGCGCGCGCGCGATACGCGAGTGTAGAAGAGAGGAAAAATCATTGAAGAGGTGGCCTGAGGAGGAAGAGAAAAAAGTGGCTGACTTTAGATGCCAACCTACACAGTCAAAATTAATTAAATCCACTGAAATCGTGGGTTTTCATCGGCTATTTATTGTATAAATCACGCCTTTCTCACTCTCTCGACCAAAGGTGAGACAATATTGGCCAGAAGTGGTGTACAGATGCAAGAGAGGATCTTCCAAAATATACCCAAAAATCAAGAAACTGCAGTTATAAGGGATTTATCACACATGCTTCTTTGATAATCAGTGATTCAAGTGAGAAAGAAGAGATTTTTGTGCTTTAAAACCTATTCTAATGAGACAATGCATGCTTTTCATTACTCATTAAGCCCTGGTTTTTCGATTTGAACCATTTTCACTGTACAAATGAGTGAAAATACGACTTAGCAACTATTTGCTCAGTTTATTTTGCTAAGTTCAACACAAAAGAATTCATTTGAAGAAACGAACTAAAGTTGTGAGTTGCTTATTCGTTAGTTTTCAATCTGTTCTGACACTTCTGAGAAGTATGAGGGATTTTTCACGCAAATTGCGCACTTGATGTACACATCTTAGCCATATTTTCTCCCCCTTGGCTGCGACAATGAATACGCAGTGGCTCGTGATGTCGCTCACATGGATTCTGGACGTTTTAATCGCCATTGTCGAGGTGGAAGACGCCACTTTTCCACCTGTGTTGCATCAATTGAAAGGGATTCTCGTGCCATTTTGGCACACAAACTCGATGTACACTTTATCAAAGCATCACTTGAGGCAACGAAAGTGATGAAAAGCAGACACAGATTTATCGGTACAGCTTCATTATGATCTTGTTTTCGAGAACATGGGAATTTTCACGTGAGACACTCTTGCACAACTTTTTCCCATTATTCTCCGCTGATGCTTTGCATCCCGGCGAAAAGGCTCAGCGATGTGTGTGTATGAGAAAAAATTGAGCAATTTCCTCTCTGTGCCACATATTGATGGCAATCAATAGGTCATCAATTGACCATCGTGCACGGTCGTTCTTTGACAAACACAATTGAGTGCGAGAAAAAAATCCGGGAGTGGCTTTTGGAGTGTCGCCATGAGAATAATAAGAGGGAAATCTGTTTGATTTAATTACAATCCGGGGAAAGAGATGCCAAAGGTCTTTCTGATTTGAATATCAATGTGAAAAGAGTGGAAGTTTAATGAATTAGGAATGATTTTTGGTAGGATAATGAAAGCTGGAGGTTTCTTTCTTTACTTTCTTAAAGATTGTTTGCTTATATTCTTCAAAATTGTTAGTTGACAACTTCTTCTTAACATTTCTCTTGTCAATTAAAAGCTGCCAAAGCTTTATAATCGATGAAAAATGCATTGAAAATGACTTTAACACACCGGAAATCAGCGTCTGATCTTCTCACTGAAAATCACATCAATTCGTTGATGTGATTTGAAAGAAACGACAAACAGTCATAGAAATAAAAATAGTTCACTTGACAGGAAGTACTGCGTCATTAGTTGTCTCCGTATATTATTAGGAATAATTTTTGATTACCCAATTTTATTTCCTCATGCATTAATTCGTACGTGTTTCATGAGGTTTTCTTTTCTCTCAAGCGTACGACACAGATTCTCTCTCTCTCTCTCTGAAGCTCATTGCAATATTTTCATGACTATGAATAGTATTTTGATGAAAAGCACACACAACAAACAGACGGGAGAATCATTGCATGTGAAACTCGCTTTACGATTGCCAAAGACACCTTCGTCTATACATTCGTCCGGGAAAGTTGACTATAGTAAATTATCACCACCCAAAATTACCAGTGAAATTATATTAATGAAAACAATTTCTTCCGAAATGCTCAACATGAGATTTTAAAGGTTTATATTCACGTGAGTTTCCTCCGTGTCTCTCTTTTTCTTGTCTCAGCCTCGCTGTCTCTCTTTTCACCCAACATAAAGCGCACCGTGATCTTGTTTGGTCGAGAAATTGACTCACATTCCACAGAAGATATTGAATTGATTTTTTTTAAAACGCGGGTAAACTTTCAAAATTTTTTCCAAATGTGTTAATTGTAAATCATATAAAATTTCTTAACAGATTTGAGAGGAAACAGAAAGACAGAGAGAGAGAGAGAGGAAAATGTCTCCAAGCTAGTGAAATTAACAATATTCTCACTTTCGGTGATAAATTTATGGGACATTTGCATAAAAGTCACTAAGTGACAAGAGAAATTTTTCACAAACTATCAAGCAGATTTGTAAGTAAAAATAGTCGAAAAAAAATGTCTGCATTTATCGCCTTTCCTTTGATTGTTTTCGCATCTTTTTTCTGCACACACGCCATGACCAATTACAATAATTGATTGGTGGAAAATTTCTCATACAAAAATGAGAGTTGAGGAGGAAGCATAAATTTTATTCCGAAAAAGACTCATACACATAAATCTGCTCTGAATGCTTTAAGCGTTCGCTTTTTTTCGTTTTGAAGCACAAACTTGAGCACAAATGAAGTTCCCAGAGATGCAGAGAAGCTCTGTGGCAAAAATGAGGAAATTGGCCAGCGATCTTACATAAAAGTCTCGCCGTAAAATCATATTTAATGCCTCTTTAATTCAACTCTTGCATGAGTGGATGTGAGAAACGCACGTCTCATTAGGAGGGAAGACAATTGAGCAAAAGGAGGGTTTGCAGCGCGGGAGGACAATTGCGACATTTTCCGCACGTTGCAGACAAATTTTCCACCGTTGAAACTTTCACTTTGTCAGCGCACTTTTTTTCTGGCGCGTCTCGCCCAAAAGAATTGCGCGCGCGCGCGATATTGTGTCAATTTATTTGCAATTCACGTGCTTCTGACCCCAAAAATAATAATCACACACACACACCGCAGAGTGACACGTCGTGAAGTGATTTTTAGCCATACATTCGTGATCATGTTTGCCGTTTGTTTCCGTTTTAATTTGCCAGCGACTCGCGATCGGGAGGGAAATCAAGAGTTGTCTGTTATATGTTTCCATCATGCTTCTTTTCTCCTCGCGCACTTGCTGCACACAATTTCATTGGTGATGCGGTGAAAAAAAAAGCAAAACACTGCCCATAAAAATGAGCTGTAACTCGCGGAGTGAATGAGTTTTGTAGGACAAGAGATGAGGAGAAGCTGAATGTTTCATGGGTGAGGAAGATCGCGCGATCGATAAATCCCCGTCTTTCTTTAGCATAAAGAAATTTTTCTCAATCGAGAGTTTCTTTCTCTTGCCAACATTGCCAAGAGAGAAAAGCGATAATATTCCTATTGACTCAATCTCACCGGAGAATATGCATTTTTTCCGCAAGGGGAAGATATTTTGGCAGGAAATGGTGTACATTTTAGCAAAAGTGTTGAGAAATGAATGTGTTTTGAGTCACTTTTTGAAATTTCCTCATTCATTTTACTGATAAAAATCAAATCTCAGCCAAGATTATGCCAAGATATTACTAATTTAAGACTAAAAGAGTTGCAATTATTTCTACTTGTTAGCCTAGCAGAAAAATCTCAGATTTTCAGGGAGCAGATCACAAAATTAATCTTATGCTTGAATCCGTCTCAAATAGTCCATTAATAAGTGCACCTTTCTCTCTCTTGACTTGCAGCCTGTTCAGAAGCACAACAGCCAGTGGATGAGAGTCTGCTATGGTCGGACAGTTGGAGTAGAATCCTGGAGAACTGTGTTGTGGCGCGCGTGCTGTATGACGATTGACAATGACATCGAGCTATGAGCGGATCAAGTCGGAGTGCAAAAAGAAAAACCAACTCTGGGAGGATCCGGACTTTCCGGCAGTGCAGACATCTGTTTTCTACCATCAAACGCCACCGTTCACATTCCAATGGAAGCGGCCGCAGGAGATCATGGCGCAGCCCGTCTTCATCAACGACTCCAGCACACACTTCGACATCACGCCCGGAAAGATGGGTGATCGATGGCTCGTCTCGTGCCTGGGCGTGCTCTATTTGTCCAAGGGTGAGCGCGTGATCTGGATTTGTTCATTTGTGCGCTCTGTCGAGTGTCAGAGCTCATGAGTAACAATACATTTTGCGATTTCGCTGTATTCGAGCGATACTTTCTTGTCTTAGAAGATTAGTCGAGTTAATCAACTAAGAATGCATTGCAGTTTCTGGGATCAATTTAAAAGTTAAGATGAGAACCAAGAAAATATTTAATTGAGCCTAAAAATAAACTTGTCCTTATCATATAGAGAAACTTGGCGCATGAATTCAGAACAATCGAGTGAATTTTGTTCCATCCTTGAACTCAATAAGTTCTTGAGCAAAAGACTTCTTGTTGTGTTTTTGAAATTGTTGCAGGCAATTTAGAGTCAATTAACATTTGAATTATGCAATATTTTACGCCGCAACGAGATTTGAAGTGGAAAATCCATAATTATCAGCTCTGGGGCACCACTGAAGTGGCGAAATGGGGCTATTCTCAATTGCTGTCGCCTCTCTCTGACGATCTGTCCCTGTTGCAGGACTCTTCTATCGCGTCGTTCCGGCGGATCAGAGTTTCGAGTCGCCGTACTTCGGTGTGTTCCGCTTCCGGCTGTGGTGGTGCGGCGAGTGGGTGGAAGTTCTAGTCGATGATCGATTACCAACGATAAATGGCAAGCTGGCCTTCCTGCAGGCGCAGAACACCAACAGCTTCTGGCCGGGGCTGCTGGAGAAAGCGTACGCGAAGCTGCACGGCAGCTACGAGGCGCTCAAGTACGGCACGCTCCTGGACGGCCTGGCCGATCTCACGGGCGGCATCACCGAGTCCATCCCCATCCGGGCAGAGAACGTGCCCATCCGACCCGCCATCATGTACAGCCTCCTGGACACCACGAGCATCGTGACATGCACTGTAAATAGCAGCACCAACACGGCGCAGATCCGCAACCAGCTGGAGAAGCTGCCCAGCGGCGTGTGCGTGGGCAGCAACTATCGCCTGTGCTCGCTGGACAAGGCGGAGACGCTCATGGGCGACTCCGTGCAGCTGGTGCGCCTCCGCGATCCCATGTCGCTGGGCAACTTCGGCAACGGCGGCGGCTACAACGGCGACTGGTCGCCGCTGTCCAACTCGTGGGAGCGCGTGTCCGTGCAGGAGCGCGACCGCCTGCTGGGCCAACTGGACGCGGGTGACTTCTGGATGAGCTTCGCGGACCTCACGCAGATCTTCACGCACCTGGAGTGCGTGCACCTCGACTCGGACACGGCGCGCGACGAGCCGTCGCTGTCCGACAAGTCGCGCAAGTGGCTGATGCGGATGTACCAGGGCGCGTGGCGGAAGGGCGTGACGGCGGGCGGCTGCCGCAACAACCCGGACTCCTTCCATATCAATCCGCAGCTGCAGCTGTTCCTCAACGAGAAGGAGGACGTGATCATCTCGCTGAACCAGCACAGCGTGATGGAGCCCAAAGTGATCGGATTCACGCTGTACAATTTGAGCACGGTGCAGAGCAAGATCTCAGAGTGCCTCCCAAAGTCCTTCTTCAAGAAACACAAGAGCCTCCAGAACTCACAGTACACCAACTCGCGCCAGATCAGCCAGCGCTGCTGCCTCGACGCCGGCCGATACCTCATCATGGCCACCACGTTCGAGCCTATGGAGGAGTCGGCCTTCTCCGTGCGCGTGCTGGGCATCACCATTCGCCTGTCGCTGCTGGAGACGCAGACCATGCTCCTGCTGGATCCCTTTCCGTCGCTCAACGCCTCGCAGAAGATTCAGGCTGATCTCAGTGGCAGCGGAACGGCGCAGTACGAGCCCGTCTTCCTGCAACTCGCTGACGATCACAAGTAAGCGCATTCGACTTCCTCCCTAAACTGCGCTAACCGCCTTCTCTCTCTCTCTCTCTGCAGAACCATCAACTGCTATGATCTCCAAGAGCTCCTGGAAGCATGCCTGCCAAATGACTACATCAAGTCCTGCGCGAGCCTCGATGTTTGTCGTCAAGTTGTGTGTCTCATGGATGTATGTTTTTGCCATCCTTCCCCAAAATTCAACCTCTGCAGCTCCTTCTCTCTCTCTTGTCTCCCGCAGAAGACCAACCGCGGCAGGATCACCTTCAACGACTTCAAGGTGTTCATGGTGAATCTCAAGTCCTGGCAGGGTGTCTTCAAGATTCACACCAAGGAGAAGTCCGGCATCCTGCGCGCTGAACGCCTGCGAGACGCTCTCTATGACGTCGGCTTCCAGCTCTCCACGGAGATCCTCTCAATTCTGGTGCTACGCTACATGCGACGCGACGGAACGTTGCGTCTCGGCGACTACGTGTCTGCTATTTTACACCTCACAATGGCATTCGGTGCGTATCAATGAATTTCACCCATGAAAAAAGGGGAAGAAAAATCCAAAATTCCGCTTTTACATGTTTGAATTGAAACTGGGATTATTTCCAACCTGTAAATTGTCTCTCCTTTGCAGAGATCTTCAAAGTCAAGGACCTCAATCAAGACGGTGTCATCAAACTCGGTCTGGCGGAGTGGATAAAGTCCGCCCTAATGTGTTGAGCCACTCCACGATCGTGCTCTCTTCTCTACTCAATTCTCTTTGTTAATAATTTATGAATTTTTATCCAATCAAGAAATCTAATTTTTTTTTTGATATCGCAGCAATAAAAATGACATGGAATCATAAGAGAGATCACTTTATTGATCGTGTGTGTTCAATTTGTGGGTATAGAAAAAGACATTTAAAATGCAGCAAAAAAGCAGTGAGAAAAGGCGCTTTGTATAAAAATATTCTCTGAATCAGAGTTTTTGGCATTTTCGTAAGGCACATTTGTGGACTTGAGAAACGTATGTCTAGAGATCGCTGCGATCATCCTTGGTCGTCCAGCGATCGTTTATGGCATTGTCAAGGAGCGACGGACTCAAGGCGTCCATTTCGAGCGCCTGATCGGCTTTGTCGCTCTTTCGCGGCACATCTGACGCCTCGCCGGCGCTCAGCGGGATCTGGATGGAGTCCTCAGTGTCGGAAATGTATCCGTGCTCGCCGGTGTAGTGCGTGGGATAGAGAAGCAGCGGCGCCGCACTCATGGCGACGAGATTGCGCGGACTGAAGGCACTTTTCCACTCATCGCTCGGATGCCGATCGAACATGATGGGCAGGAACTCGTCCACGGGCACCAGCTTCTCCAGCGGCCGTGCCGCCAGCAGCTTCTGGGCGCCCCGGCGGGAGATCAGGTAGCCCAGCGTCCAGTAGGAGTACGACGGGAAGACGAGCTGCTGGGAATCCTCCACCCAGTGCTCGGAGGCGTCGTGCAGACGCTTCCGGCCCAGGTAGATGAGATCCCAGGCGCCACGCCGATGCGCTTCGTCCAGCAGACTCACGAGACGCTCGCGGAAGAACGGTTCGAAGCGAATATCATCCTCCAGGATCAACACCTCCTGCAGCTCCTCCTCCTCCACCATCCGGCGCCAGATGGTGAAGTGACTGAGGAAGCATCCCACTTCGCCCATCGTCATCGGGCGCTTGTGGTAGGGATCGAAGTATTCGGGCAGGAAGTCAATTTGCCAACTCTCGAGGAAGTCCTCGTCGATCATCTTCCCATCCACAGCCTCGAAGTACTCCACATCGAGTCCCAACTCCCGGAAATTGCCCTCCATCTTGGCTCTCCGCTCTGGGCGTCGCTTGAGATTCACCATGAAGATCTTCGACAGCGTCAGGCGATCCTTCTTCGGCTCCGTCACGAATTGCGCCAGCCGCGGAAGCACATCCAGGCGCTCCAGATCGTTCCAGATCATCATGCGGATGTTCGTGAGCTGCTCCAAGTCGCGCCGCAACTCCTCGTCCTGCTCCAGTGGCGACAGAATGTAGCCAAAATGCTCCGTGTTGGAGATCATCATGGGAATGCCTGAGTAGTTGGCGGACATGGCGAAGATTATGATGTCGTCCACTGGGCCGTCGTACCTGCGCGGCGCGTTGAGAGATTCCAGGTGGAAGTTGAGGACGTTCTTGTCGAAGGTGAGCAGATCGCTGTCCGGATGGTTGAGATTGATCAGCACGGCGCTGTGAACCATGGGAACAGCGAACACACCCTCCATTTCCCTGTTCAGGATCTTCTTGTACTCCTCCGTGCGTTCGTAGTAGTGATCCTCAGTCATGCCGCACCAGTAGTTGGAGTACAGGCCGTCGGATATCAGCATGGGCGCCACAATTGGCACCCCGACAGCCATCAAATCCCGCAGCGTGTTGGGATGCGTGAGGAAAGCGTCAGCGTCCAGGAACTGCAAGGAAAGAGACACTCTTAGACACAGTCTGGGATCGCCTGGACCACACTTACGAGCACATAGTCCGCCCAGATCTCTCTGGCCACTCGTAGGCCCTCCTCCTTCATCGCTATCACGTCCTGGAAGCGCTCCAGCGGCCAGTGCGTCGCAGATTGCTCCTCCGGACGCAACGTCGCACTGTCGTTGAACTGATACTGGACAGAGTGGTACTGAGACTTCACCTCTGCCAGCCACTCGCCCACGATCTCCAGCGAAGCGTCGGCATTGTGATCTGAGCGAATCCTGCGGAGAAAGACATGAGAACAAATATTTTGTTAATTGTTCGCCTCTTGTTAGTGAGTTGAAATCTCTTATCAAATCTCTTAAACTTAAGAGACAGCTTTAATGTTGCAAATCATATTCCTGGCTTTGTGTGCTATTTCTGAACACTGTAAAGGATTCCCATTCCTTTTCTCAGGATTTGTTGCTCATGAAAAAATGCCGGAAGAGCGCTTCTTCCAGTGTTAAGTGAACTCTTTGTTTACTTTTCCTCCGGACGTTTTCCCAATTGGCGCTCCATAACCTCACTCCCTTATCGGCTCTGGCGAGCGACTGAATTCCTGCCCGTGGCGGAGGTGGCTGGGCAAAAAGCAGAGGGCCAAGGGTCAAGATTACTCACCAGAGCGCTATTCTGTCCTTGGGATACTGTAATTGCGTGAGATATGTGAGGAAGAGCGGAAGAGTGTGCGCCTTGTTGCGAACGAGGGTGACAATGAGGAGTTTCGGCTCCTTCCTGGCCAACTGACACTGAATCCCACTCACGGCCAGGCACATCAGCACACTGAGTTGCCAGAGATTCATCTCAACAGCATTATTGTGCACTTTTCACCGATTTGCGGGGGCTTTTCTGCCCTCTTTGCATGGCACTTCTCTCGATGGCGGCTGCAGAACTGATGGACGGCAATTGGCGGCGAATTTTCGCCGCAAGACGAAAATCCCGCAATTCAAAAATGATTTATGAGTTAATTTATTGACCAAAAGACGAAAAAAAAACTGTTACTTCTTCTTCTCCTCCTTGGACTTCTCCTTCTTCTCGCCCTCCTCCTTCTTCGCGCCCTCCTTCAGTTCCTTGTTCTCCTTGTCCTTCTTGTCCTTGCCCTCCTCCTTCTTGCCCTCCTCGGCGTCCCTATTCGTCAGCTTGTTGTTGATGAGGTTGTGCAGCGCGATGATGGAGCGCACGAGCGACGCCAGGTAGACCACCAGCATCTGGTCGTTCGTCTTGATGTACAGCGTGTCGGTGAAGTTGTCGTGCGTGATGTCCGGCAGCAGGTTCAGGATATCCTGCAGCTGGTAGACGATCTGGTGGTTCACGGGCAGCTGGTCGTTGCCCACCTACAAGAGAGAGAGAGAGTGGAGATTAGTGCCAGAGCGCCGGACGCCGCTTTGAACGCACCTTTATGAGATACTTCTGGATGTTCCGCAGCTGCTGGTTGAGCCCCTTGAGCCCCATCAGCTGGTTCGTGATCTTCTGCGACAGGCTGCCGACCGTGGTGTCCTTGATGTCGCGCAGCAGGTGCTCCACACCCACCTCCTCCGCCTCCTCGGCGCCGATCTCGCTGGGCACGTGCTCGAACGTCTTGGACGTCGGCGTGCCGTCGTCGTGCACCTCCTCCACGGCGTGGTACGCCTCCGTGGGCAGCCCCAGGTCCTTGGGCTTGGCGTCGATGATCACCAGCACGGAGTTGGGACAGTAGCGGCGGATCAGCTCGTTGATGGCGATGTCGTTCTGGTGCAGTTTGGGGCCCGTGTGATACCAGCCCACGACGCGCTCACGCGCGTTCACCTTCTTGAACATCGCGTACATGTTCTCCAGGTAGTCGTGGTCGAGGAACCACACGGACTTCTCCTTGTCGTCCTCGTCGAACGGCACGGCGAAGCTGTTGGACACGTCCAGCACGCCCTTGGCACGCCAGCACCCGAGCAGCACCCCCACAACGCGCTTCTGGTTGCCGATTTTGCCCATCCTGTTGAAGTGGTCCACCACGCTGAGCAGCACCAGCGGGTGCACGATCACCTTGCTCACCACAACCTCGGCTGAGGGCATTTTCACGGGTATTTCACGGGGAAATCGTCTGGGAAATGAGACCAAAAGATGAACAACACAGAGCACTTCCAACCTCACTTTCTGCAGTGACTGTCACAATTGAGAATCATCGCGCATCATCAAAACACAATCATCGTCACGTCGATGAATGATGCTATTTGAACTCGAGATCCGGTAAAATTTCATGAAACTTTCAGTCTATTGCAATACTGTTGGCAAAATCTTGGCCAATTTATTAAAAAATAATAATAACTTATTTGGGAACCTTTGCAACAGTTATATAATTAAAATAAATATTAAATTAATTGGGAAACTTAAACAAATTTGGGTCGTTCTTTATATACAATCCGGCTTCGCGTCTTTTGTGTTAGTACAATTATATCAATAATCACTCCTTAAATTACTGATAAAGAGAGTATTGTTCTTGAACGTTCACCCTTAATCTAATCTGGCATCTGTACTGCTAAACAGGGAGCTTCTTGTGAAGTATGAAGTCCCAAGTGTCCTTCCATCGCAGGTCAATCACCTGCTCAGCACTCAGCCTGGCCGCTCCGTAGCTCAGCACGATGAACTTCTGGTAGACGAACAGAACCGTGGCGATCCACGCGAAGATGGCGAGGCGCGCGCAGTGCAGAATGATGGCATAGTTGAGGAAGAGCCTGAGCAGCGTATAGATGTGCTCAATGACGAAGCAGAGCAGAAGCAGCTTGAAGATCAGCGCCGGGAAGTAGTTGTGCAGGAAGAGGGCTTTCTCGGTGAAGAAGAAGGGCAGGTAGTTGATGAGGAATCCGGCGAACAGGAGCTCTCCCACCGCCTGGAACTTGTCCCAATCCGCGGGCGGCAGATCGAAGCACAGCCGGCGGCGGCGCAGGAGGTAGAAGGCGAGCAGCGTCAGGTAGATGACGACGGACAGCGAGCCTGCGTACCAAATGGCGATGTTGCCCAGCAGGTGGATCTGGCTGTTGGTCTTGCTGTCCACCCAGTAGGCGATGCCCTTGTCCATGAGCGGCCAGTCGAGCGGCGTCGAGCCGTACATGTGAGTGTTGCTCAGCTGGCCGTCGTTGTACCACAGCATCTTCAGCTGCAGCTCTGCGAACTTGCGCAGGAACGAGGGATCCGTGCGCGTCATGGGGATCATTTCCCGGTTCACCAGATCTCGCTCCCTCTCCCGTTGATCGTCCGTCTTCGTGTACTTGTGCTCCTCCACATTCCACAGCGTGCTCGGCTGCGTGACAACACGATCGGACACCACTTCGTGCTGATTAAAGCCCCAATCGGGCAATTGCCGCCCGGAGAGCCGCAGAGCCGAGCCCGTGGTGACGTGAATGAGACGCACGTGGGACGTGATGGCCTTCCAAATGTCTCCCTCAACGGCGCGATTCACAATGTCGACGCGCCACAGCAGTTCCGCCGGCATGGAGACGTTGTAGTCGATGTAGCACGAGACCTCCTGCGCCTGGGGAGTCACAGGAGCCGCCACGTCATGGCTGTTGAGCGCCCTGGCCGTGATGCCGTGAACCAAGTGGATTTCCTCGCCATGCTTTATCGGATCGGGCTCATCTCCGACCACGAGATCGTTCCTCGTCGGCCGCTTGACGATCCACCAGTTGTTCACATCCTTCCAGGAGTACGCCGTGACTTGCTGCTGATGAGAGGAGCCCCGCTTGTCCGGATACTTGATGGGGTAGAGATGAGGGTGCGAGTGCAGCCAGCAAGGGCGTCCAAAGGCGGGCTTCAGAGTCACTTGCGATCCGTGGCTGATCACGATGGGTTGCTTATTGATGATTGACGCCAGGCCGCCGTCCAAGGAGGCTTGGAAGGCGCTTGTCATGACAGAATCATGCGGTCCAGCCTTGTGGAGGATCGTCAGGTGAGTGTAGAAAATGCCTATATAAACAACGAACGGAATAACAGTGAAAATCGTCCCGACGACAAGAGCGTTCAGAACAATCTTCCCATCGGAGACGGTCTTGTCGCGAAGACGCTTCCACAGGTTGCGCAGGATATAGAATACCGCGAGGCAGCAGGAATAGAAGCCGACATACTTTACAGCAACGCCACAAGTGAAGGCGAACGCTGCTAACATGGCGTAGGCGAACCACAGCGGAGAATAGAGCCGAGCATTGTTGAACCGCACGAGGAACACGAGGCCGAGCATGACGAAGAACAGCAGTATGGACTCCATCAGGATGAAGCGAGACTGCGTGAGCAGCGCATTGTCGAAGATTATGAGGAATCCGGCGAGAAGAGCTGTCCAGCGATGCAACTGCAGTGCCAGCAGAAGTTTGTAGGCCAACGGCGACAGGAGACTTCCGCAGAGAGCCGGAACGAAGCGCAGCATGAAGACAGGGACGTTCTACAAATGGGAGAAAATTGAAAGCGATAAAATTAGCGACAAACATACGCTTCAGTAGAAATGTTTTCCCTTCCTGTTCTTATATATAAAGGTGGACTTTAGAACTACTTATGGTTGGTTGGTAAACTGACAATCTGCCATCGTAAAAACAAACTTAAGTCATGATCGGAAACAGAATGCTAAGTTTGGAAAACTTCTCTTCCCAAAAGACCTTTTACGCAATTGACTGAAAAAAAGGTTTTTGAAATGGATTCTCCTAAAATTCCTTAGCGCACCTCCGAGTACGGCAATCCGATCTTCGAGAAGGTGTAGTTCCCGTTGTAGTTGACGACAGACGCCAGGCCGGCGATGAGCTGCTTTCCCAAGGGTGGGTGTTGGTCGAAGAAGAAAGTATTCCGCATGTACAGCGACACATATTTGCCGTAGTGCACCTCGTCGAACACCACGTTGCGCGGCTGCGCCAGCCTGAAGGTGCGCGTGACGAAGGCCAGGACGAACAGCATCCACGCCATGAGATCCACCTCGATCGACAGGGTGAAGCTGCGCCGTCCCTGCGCATTCCCATCGCGCTCTTCCGCACTCTTGTCACTGGGTTCCGCAGCTTTCTCGCATTGAACTCTTTCACTTTCTTCACTATCACCACTTTTTGTCCTCTTTTCTCCACTCTTGCGCTTTCTCACCTCCTTCTCCGCTCCTTCCGTCTGCATTCTGTGTCGCACCTGATCTCTTTCTCTCTCCACCAAATTATCGACCTAATTAGCGCCTGGTTCTCTGGGATTTTGGGCTGAGGTGGCGGAATGGATGGCACTAGAAGCACGTCTGTGGCGATACTGACGATGTGACGCTGCATAACGGGACAGAAAGGCAATGGAAAATGGTTAAGTTGTGCAGAAGTTTCCATACTTTCTGGCGCACCTTGTCCACTTGCCACGCAATTCACCACTACCTGCTCAACAGCACTCTCGTCATCACAGGTAAGCGACTTTTACCTTTTCCAAACAGTTTCGTGCAGAGTTCCGAGCACTGTGGAAGGTGAATTGTGCAGAGAGAAAATCTCACGGCTTTGTGTGGTGGATTTTCACTTTGGAACCCAAATTGGGCCACACTCAGCAACTCGGCTGCATCCTGGAGTGGAAAAGTGGCGCAGTGCGATCGGAAAAGTGGCGGAAATTGATTTGGGAAGCTTGAGGAATGCGTGGATTGTCTGGTGAATAGGAGATTTCTCTGTTCAGTGCACTGTGGCAAAGAAGATCTGCGATTGTGTGTGTTGGCTGGAGATTTTTTTTCTTCAAACATTTCCATTCGGATTCTCTCTGTGCGGACGTCATCATGATGATGGTGTCTGAGGTGAGAGCAGATTGTGGAGAATGAAAAAAAGAGAGAGAATCACATGAAGTTTTGCTGTGCAAGTGAAGTCAATGGTTTCGTGGATTCAGTGAATATATAAAGTGGAATAAGTCACTTGGAAAGCGCGCGGCGGCTGGGCAGAAAAGGTGTTTTGCTCTGAAGGTGAATTTTTCTTGCAATTACAACATCCTTCCACTCACCATCTTTTCAACATCGCGCGCAGCCCAAAGAATGGTCGCGCGCGGCGTGAGAATGCTGCGTGCGTGTGTGGTGGAATTTGAGAATTCAATGGGGAAGCATTCCAATTTTGACTCACACCAGAAAACCACCCACACCAGTTTCCTCTCCTTACCTGTCGCCTTCTTATGTCACCTCCGTCTTCTCGCACTCTGTGCTAATCACAAAGTCAAAGACAATTCCTCCCGATTTGATATAGAAATGCTGAAGACGAAGCTGAGAAAAGATGGTGAAGAAACCATCATAAAGTGCGATTAGTGTGTGCATAAAAGTGTGTTGTTGCCTTCGCAGAAAATTGCCGAGATTTTTCTTTTCTCCACAATTGTGTGTCTCATTTTCTCGCGCGCACCTACACACACAGTGCGCTGGTTCAGGTGCTCACAGATGCTGATTTCAGACAATTTTTGATCGGCAATAATGCATATGACCCGAGAAAATGAAGCAAAATTAATTTTAATTCTCAAACACGATTTCTTGGATTTGTTTATGGTTTTTACTTTTCATAGCTTTTTGATATTTTTTTTTAAATATGCGAAAAATTTAATTTTGTAACCAATTTTTTTTAAAGAGTAAAGAAAACTAATTTTGCAAAGATTTACGTCTGTTTCTATATCAAAAACATTTTTTATATCAAAATTTCTAATAATTTCATTAATCTTGAGTTACAAAATGAGGTTTTTTTCTTTTTATTGATTGTCAGCGAAGAATTCTTCGCAAATTTTAACAATAAAAGCCACTTTCAGGTTAGAAATGAAGAATTATCGCGATAAACGTTCTGAAATCTTACTTGATGTCTTCATATTTGACTCTTTTTTATCATATCTCTTTGCAAATTCATCACTTTGACGAATTGTCCGATAAGATGTTCTAAAAAAAAGTGGAATTTCCGCGTTGATTGGGGAAAAGTCCGCTGCGCGACACCGGATGCGCTCCACTTTGTATGCCCGAGATGTTGGATGATCGCGTGAGTGAAATTTCTCAATTCATCAGACAGAGAGAAAAAATGCACAACACAAGCTTATGCGAGCTTTAGGTCGTTTAAATAGCAAAAGTTCCTTGGCAAAAGTGTGCAGAAATGACGCGAGATCGAAGGAGGAAGGCGACAGAGAGTTGCTCGAAATTGCAAATTTAGCGTGTAATTGTGACAATGCGAGTGACAAATCACTCTTAATTTGCGTGTGACTTACATTTAAGGAGAGTTGGAAAGGCAGCAACAGAAACTTGAGCAGAAAGCGGCCAATTCAACGCGTCCGGACAACTCTGGATGGATGACGGAATGACGAGGCTCCATGGAATCGCCAGCGGAACATGAGTCGTGATGCCGAAAGTTTGGTACGTGATTCCTTCTAATTCATCTCAATTTATGCAATTTTCGCCGCGAGGCGTGAGCGCAAACTTTCGGTTGTTGGGTGAAAAGGAAAAGCGCATTTTGCATTGAAAAGGCTCGTTAAAGAGAAATTAACATTTGGAGAAGAGACCATCACTTGAAATTGAAATTCATGCGAAGCCTCTCTTCTTTCATGGATGGAAATAAATTGAATAACATTTTGTCCGTGTGTCTCTTTTTGTGTGGAGGGAAGTTGACGCCTTCTCAGCATTTGACTTTTGCGTATAAAAGTGTGTGAGAAGACGATGCTTTAGCTTCTTGCCAATCCATCTCTTCGCACAGCAAATAATATCACATCCATCGCATTTAATGTGAATTCTCCACGTTCCACTTTCTGCTATGGAATTTCAACAGTATATAAATTGAAAGTTATTGAGACTGTGATGATGAAAATTGTCAATTCATTCACTGGCTTAGACGTTGAGCATCATGAAGCGAAGGGGAAAATCATCGAGCACGTGAATTACATAAAATAGCAAATTACTTCTTTGAGGGAAAAATTATGAAAATCTCAATACTTCAAGTCATAAAGCGTGTGCAAGTAAATTGATTTGACTTCTTATCTCGATTAAAGGTGCTAATTTAGATAAGGAATGTTGCGTAATTTCCTCGTAATGATTTTTTAATAATTGTTTTTGCCATTTGCGATTTTACTACCAGTTTTTGCTTAGAAAAATCATTCTTCAACTCTCAGAGTTTATCTGTAATTTTAATGCAAGCAAAAGCAAGAACAAAATTAGAAATTCCACTAAGTTTATTAACAGTGAAACACTTTTGCTTATTTTTTTATCAATTCTTTACTTTTCTCAATTTTGCATTACATCTTTTGGAATGATTTATCTTACTTTACGCGAACATCAAATTTATCGAATGGTTTTCATCAAATTCTCCTCGTTACGTAAACTTTCGATTTTTCATAAATGCTTTTTATTGCACTCAGACGAACAATATTTACGAAAAGAAACAGAACAATTTATGAATGGATCTGCGCTCGAACCCTCATGAATTATACTAAATGTATGTTTTGAGTAGTGAAAGTTTATTGCTGTACGCAGAGAGAAAAAAAGATCAGTTTCCATCGCATTTCCCGACAAAAAAAGAGGCAAATTATCTTTCTCATTCGTTTGCTCATTCGCACATTAATGCTCACGTCGAGTGTCTTGATAATGTGAAATCTACTTTGCTGGCAGAAAAGCCATCAAAAATAGAGAGAGAGAGAGAGTTGGCAAATCCACAAGTCCAGGTGTTTCTCGTTGCTTTTTCCCGGACCGAATATGAGGAGGAATTTCAGTTTGGGGAAAAGAAAGGAAAACACGCACCGAAAAGTCATAAAATTAGGAATTTCATCTCGCGTTTTGAGCATTTTGTAAACATCTGAATTCCGCCATCGTGCGAGCAATTCTCAAAAATATGGCACTTCATTCTCACACTTCTCAGAGTTGTGAGTATATTTTTAGGCTCTCGAGACGGCGTGCGCAATTGCGAGTGCCTCTAACTTGTTAAATTCAATTATATAATTGCCAATTGATAATTGATCAAATTAGCAGTCTTTGGCCTCAAGAAGCGCTCGTAATGAAATTATGACTGTCGCCAGCGTCGCACTTCACAGCTTTTCACGATGGACCTCAAAGTGGGCTCAAAGTGTGAAATATATTTTCTCTAATTCATTCCAGCGCGCCTTTTATTGCTTCCACGCCACAAACGCTCATTAATCAAGCCAAAGAGCCGTGGCGCAGAGTCACTGATAACACTTTTCCTTCGTGCACTGGCTCGTGGCTCCATTTGTGCATTTTTAATGCTAATAACGTGGAAAATGTAAAGGGGAAAAATACGGCGAACATTTTCAATGTCAAGTTACAAAATTCAAAGCCGCGCGCGCGCTTCGTTATTATTGTTTTCAAAATGCAGGGTTTAACGCTCAGCCCACATTCTCTGTGACTTCTTGGGGTAAACACGATTGGGAAATTGCACGCCGCTTTTTTTTATCATGTGCAGCAGTAACTATTTGACTTTCACTGGCGCAGAAAATAGAATCAGATTCCGATTGTGTGATTTAGCATAGCTGCCATGCCAAGAGTGCCGAAGCACAATCGTCTGACCTAAAGTGTGAATTCCGACAGCATGACAAGCACAGACAGGAAAACTGTCCCGCATGAGAAATTCCATTTTCCTATTAGCTTTTTGTTCCAGAAGACACACACAAAGAAGTTTTGCACGCTCTGGAAGACCTCGAAAGTGAACTCTTCACTTATCGCATTGCAGTTAATTGTCCTCCAAAGTGAGGCAGTTTTATCGATTTACAAAGAAAAGTGCATTTCCGTTAAAGATGTTGTCTTCATTGATGACTAGTGCTCAAAATAACTGTCGATACAGCGTGCAATCAAATGTATTGCACGCTATCAGGGCTACTTTTGTTTGCACTTTTACACGAGAACATTTAATAATACTGGATGTTAAGCATTGTTTTTTTCTCAGAAAATTCAAGTTCATCGAGCAAAACGTTGAGTTTTTGTAAATATAATTATGACTTACAGTGAAATAATCAATGTTTTTGGAAGCATTTTTCAAATGACTTTCTTATCATATTTGCAGTCTTAGATTCTATCTTACGAATTCTTCAATAAAAGTTCGTTTAACCAATGTTTTAGCATTTTTCCAAATTGGATATTTGGACGTTGCTCTATTCTCTCTCCAGCAACTGTACATCTTCTCCATGATGTTTTCTTCATTCAAACCCTGCAATCTGCACGTGAATTGGTGTAACAGAAAAATCCATCAATTTGCAAACACGTAAAACATCGACCATTTATTGCTGCATCTCGAAGGCACCTTGCAAAGTGTTTCAAGGCGAGTGTGAAGAAATACTTGTGCTGCAGTTAGAATTTTTGTGAAACTCTCAATTGCCTCTCGCTTTGAGCTCAATGCAAAAGACGCCGTGTGTGTGATTTTGTTACAATGGGAAAAGCTGAGGAAAATGGCATTTTTTCAGTGGGTAAAAATAAATTCCCTCCGCCAGAAAAGGGAGTTTGGGCGTCACAACCGACAAAGCATGACGACACAGAGTGACTCTTCATCATCTCTCGTGTGTTATTTTGATCTATTTGAGGGGATTTAAGTCTCGACATTTACTTTATTTCTCCAAGTCTGCGTAAATTTAGCTCAATATGGAAGTGTGTGAAGCATTAAGTGCAATTACGGGCGATTAATTAGTCGTTTTAGGTTGAAAATTCTCGGGCAAGTTTTGCGTGAGTGATTTGGATGGAGAGACTAAAGTCTCTTCCCCTCTTTGATGGCCACTGCGGAGTCCATAAATTAAAGTGGCTTCTGATGGGGAAGAGTTGGTGAACTTGACTCCCAATTGAGTGCGAGTAATTTACTGTGTAAAATCCAGCGGAGCAATAAAAAAAAGTGTCGCTTTTCGCGGTGAAGTACTGACAGAACATAGTAAAATTAACTGTGCACACACACATTGGCAAAGGCCATGATTAGATAGCATGGCGAGGGTTTTTCATCATTTCCATGCGTGCGAGAGTTCAGCGAGACTCGCTCTGCTTTCAACTCTGTGTGTGGCGTTTAGTCACTGTCTGACCGGCTTCTAGAGTGAATCTGTTCACGTCGCGCGGCTCCTCATTTCCGTCTCTCGGTTTGTGTTCCTCTTCAGCACACCTTGGATATTTGTTCCGTGCTTGATTTTCACTTTATATTGCAAATTTATGCAGTTTTTCCCCACTCTGTGTTCCGTGTCGTCAGAAATAGAAGAAAAAGAAATAACAACTGCCGCACTATTTTCAGCTCGTCGTTCTTCCGAAGCACCTTTTGGTATTTAGAGTGATTATTTAGGTGAAGCATAGGTGAATATTTGGCGTATTTGCACGAAGGGGAGACAAATGAGGCAATCATAGTGAAATCTGGGTGCGGAAAAGTGAATTTCCCATGCGGGATTTATCGATTTTTCTCCACTCTTCCATTCTCCATGATTCACAGGAACTCCTCGTCGCCCTTGAATCCAACACTCTCCTCTCATTTTCCTGTGTGTCTGTGCGTCGGGAAAAGGGTATATTTTCACCCTCGACAAATCGATTATTCTCTGACTACCTCACTGTGCGTTAGGGTTATTGACTCAATTGCAAACAATTCCTGTCTTCAGCACTTTTATCATTCATGATTTTCCATACCTTCGCCACGGCCACTTGAGGACAATTTGCAGCTGCAATTGCAAATTGGCGGTGGCTTGAACACGTGACAATTGCGATGTTTTTAATGTGGAAATACCCGCGCTTGTTCCCTGTGTGTGTGTGTGTAATGAGACGGCAAAACCGTGACTCACCTTTATTTGACGTCGCGAGAACTTGGGTTTATTTCTGTTTTGCTCGTGAAGAGTTAAAAAACAATTATGTGTCTGTTATCAACACACAGTGAGCTTCTCACACAGAGACAAGTTGCTATTGGATTACGGCATTAATTGTTGTAAATACCATTAACTTTTTGCTGGTTAAATGGATAAAAAGACGCGAATTTATGACACCATCAGTGTACTCAGAGAAACGAAGGTTTCACTGAAGAATTCAGAAGAATTCACTGAATATTTAAGCATGCAAAATACTTGTTATAAATCTACGTGTTCGTTCGAAACTGAGTCTTCGTGAGTTTTAGAATTTTTGAAATAAATAAAATGTTCCAAATCCTTTGTTTTCAATCAAATATGTTTAATAATAAAACCAATAAAATCCTTAAGATATAAGAAAAATAATAATTTTGCTTAAGATTATCTTAATTTTATATCAAAATAGTATCTATTTCACTTTAATTCTTAACCACTTAAGCCCTTTAATTCTATATTAAGAGTATAAAAAGTAGTCAATGAAGACAACCTTCATTTACTTATGAATGACTAACAAACTAATGTCAATTTCGATACAATTCATCTCAAAAATGCGTCTATTGACAAGTATTTCCACCGTTTTACCCTCATTTTTCGACAGTTACACACGAGTTGAGACTCTGGAAATAAAATCGACTGATGTTTGCAATTTGCCTTTCTTGAATTGAATGGGTGTAAATTTGTTACTCGTGTTGAATTCTTTGTTCAATATTTGTCCTTTATTCACTGAAAATTGATCTCATGGTGAATTCCTTTGTATACTTTTCGCGCAATAGATGGAAAACACCTCGTTTTTCAGTGACTGACTAATGCCTCTTTTTTTCGCGAGCAAGAAGAAACATTTTATCTGTTCCAAGCCCAAGATTTTTCGTGTGTTCTTGCACAAGCCTTTGTTGAATAAATAATCTTCGCTTGTCTCTCTGAGCGTGCCTCGTAATACATTTGAATGGAATTAAAATTTAAAACTCCTTTCGCTTCAGTGTCGACTTAACACATTGTTGGGGAAGTCGAATAGAATTGCGTCTCTTGATAATTCCTCACCTTTGCGCGAGTTTGAGATAGAATGTGTGATTTCTCGGCAGAAGAATAAGCATATATATATGAGTAAATGTTTTGTGCCTCGAGTGACACTATTCAAAATATCACGGAGAAGACAAAGTTGATAGCACAGAAATGCACTCATCAGCTGCTCTCCACGCGCGACGATCAAGATTTGCTGCTGAAGAGTGACTTTGGCTTCAAGTGCTTCTGTCCGTGCAAAGCGTCAATTCGCTTGCCGAAAAGAAACGCTCCCGAGAGGACAACAAAGTGGTATGTGAAGGTAATACAGCAATCATGATGATACTCTTTTTGCATTCTCGACGGCAGAGGATTTGCGTGCGTCTCTATTCAACACTGCAATCATGACGCAATGATTAGCAATTTGTTGTGCCCACTTTTATGCTAAAAGTCAACCGTTGAAAGAAACTCTGTACGCGGTTACAATGAAAATAGCGACGGTTATGTAACATCAGCATCGAAATCTCTCTCTCGCTCTTGTCGTCAATTTTCAGATCTGTGAAGCAGAACATGCGGAGAATAATTTACCATGTATAAAATAAAGTAGTCTCACGGTGTGATTTTCCATGTATTTACCTTCCCTCTGCAATATTTTATTTTAATTGTGATAATAGTAGTTGAGTTTGATGGTGTTTGCAGTAAGCGAATTTTCCGCATTATCTTCTCACCCAGAAGATGTTTTACTGCTCTACTTATTGCCAAATATTAAGGGCTTACTTTCATAAATTCACAGCAATTTTTCACCGTATTGGATGAGAAATTAGAAGAGTTCTTAATGAGATCGAATCAGTGTTTCCATGTTAATTGCTTTGCAACTTAACACTAGACTGAAATTCAGTGACTGAATGAGTAATTGAATTGACTAATACTTCGACACTTGTTGATTGGTCTGCACAAGAGGAGTATTATCTAAAACCCCGCCCATTTGTAGGCTCCGCCCCCTCAGTTTCTAGTTTGAACTGATTATTTCAGCATTTTTATCATCACAGTAATCAAGTGCTAAATTTTTACTTGCTCAATTTGAAGACATTCTCTAGAACAGCTATTCTACGCTGCTTTGTCTTCTTTCATGCCCTTCTGCTGACGAATTCTGACTTGCAAGTCAGAATAGAAACGGTAAAGATGGCAAAGCAAGGACTGAAAGTTGAATTGAAAATGAGATTCTGGGGAAAATGTAATTAAATTAATTGACTTTGAAAGTTAGCATGAAAATCCAACTACATTTTATGACTCTAGCATGAGTCACAGGGCGTTTTGAGAGTGTCTTGAGTGAATTAAAGTATAAGAACGTGTGCCATTATTATGAGCACTGAAGCGATGCTTTTTCTACGTCAAATGCTGAAATGGGAGAAAAAGACTATCGTCAATTCCATTGTTCTCCTATTTTTCTCCCGTCACTATAAATTCTCCGGGGAGTTTTTCACGAAAAACAATCCACAGACACATGAGAAGATTCTAACTTTCTTGGGCGCACTTAGAGTAGAAATTCTTCACGGCGGAGAGAAGTTTGTGTGCACAAGCTTTCGAGTTTGAGCATAAAGACGTGAGGGATGTGAATGAATAAAATTCGCCATAACATTTAATGTTCCTCCTCAATAAATGCACAATGAAAGCACGTGTTTGTGGAAGGAATTCCTAAGAGTGTGCCTTCTCAGTTAAGGCCTTTTTTGGCCGTCAACCAGCTGGAAAAGGTTGTTCACTTTCCACCAGCAAATGCAAAACTGTGTTGATTCTCAAAGTCTGTTTGTTGCTACTTTTCCATTCCGTCGAAATTCGGCGGAGAGACAGAAAAAATGTGTCTCGTTGACCTCCTTTTGACGCCCTCGAGCATTAATAAATAGCGAAATATGGTTATCTGCTCTTGAGGCTGGGTAAAGTGTGTTTTGATCATTTCTAAGAAAAGATAAAGTCAACATTTCTGCCAAAAACTGATACTGTGAAGAATCATTACATTAGGAAATCTCAACCATGTATTTCATGTGATAAGATTGCGTGAAACTTTGGTCACGAGCGAAATATACGGAAAATGTGTGCCTTTTCAATGCAATGTGAGTTTTTTGAACCTCCGCTGAATACGTAAAAATCCCTGACTTGGCGAGAAGTTCAATAAATTCGCGAGACATTTGAATGAAATTTACATTAAGCGACACTTTGAGCAGGATTTTGGCACTGAAGAAATCAATTTAGGGGAATGCGAGGTATTTTGATAAAAGAACAGGACGACAATATAGATGAAATTCACCTCTAAACATCAACATAATATAACAGAGACATTTTAATGGTAAACATATATTTTATTGCAATTTAAAGCTTGACGCTTTTCTGCTGCTTTTCGAAAAACCGTCCGTAAGCGCTCGATTTTCCCCTAGAATAAAATTTTTGGAGGCTCTGAAATCGCTCTGCTCTTGTACGGCAGTGAAATGACCACACTTGCAGACGAATAATCATTGCTCACTTTCTTCCAGCAGCCCACGTGGCGGTTATGGGGTGAGGAGCGCGAGAAGGATGCCATTTTCACGGTGTATCTCAAGAAGGTGCGCTACCATCGGCCCACGCCCAGCGCGAGCAGCGTAAGTGTTGAACTTGTGCCAATGCGGGAGATAATATGGCTGAGATCACTAATGTAATTGGGTGCAATTGCAGCAAGACTCCGATGACGATATCTCGCACCTGGAGTGGGAAACGGTGCGTGTGCGCTTCATAAAGGCCGCCACTCTTCCGCGCCTCGTGGAGGCTCTGGCCACTGACGATGGCGAGCTGGAGAGCACCTTCATCAATGTCTTCATGGCCACTTATCGCACCTTCGCGCAGCCCGAGAAGGTGCTGGAGTTGTTGCTGGCGCGCTACGAGCGCCTGCACGCTGAGCCGCTGCACTCGGACGCCGTGTCGGCGGAGCACAAGAAGAGCCTCGTATCGGCGCTGCACGTGTGGTTGGATGGATACCCGGAGGACTGGGAGGCCAGCAATCTGCAGCGCCTGCTCACGTTCACGGCCAAGCGGCTGCCCAACTCGGAGGTGCACATGAAAGCGGCGCTGCGACTGGACAGGCTGAGTCGTCTGAAGAGCCACCAGCAGATCCGGTCGTGGTCGTCGCAGGACGGTCTGGACCTCACGGACCAGTTCGGCACGCTGTGCCTCACGCCCGCCTTCCGCGTGCCGCAGCTGCACATCCTGCACTCGTACAGATTCCCGCATGTGCCCGTGAAGCACTTCGCGGAGCAACTCACTCGGATGGATATGGTAAGGAGTGCCAGAAGAGCTTCTGAAGCTCATTCAAGCATTTCACCCATCCTTTAAGACTATTTTCTGGCTCTGTTCAAGGGCAATAATTCATGGAAAAGCTATAAACAGAAGTATAGTGTCCAAAGAGAGTAGAATTCTAACTAAAGCGCATTGTTTCATAAACACATAGCTTAATGAACATCGCAGGATGTTGAATTGTGAAAGACAGTTGACAATATCAGTGCTAGAATGCACGTGTTGCTTTATTCTTTGCTGTGTTATCTGTTCAGACATGAAATCCCTTGAGGACACATTTATTTGAGCCCGACAGCTTGGATGAACACGAAGTCGGCAATGGCAAAATGCCATGCGGACAGCATTCCATGATGATGCTATCCATGCGGAAATGCAAACATATTATCTCTTTTCATTAACACACTCTCCGTCTTTGCAGGAATTGTTCAAGCGTCTGGTGCCACACCAGTGCCTCGGAGCGATTTGGTCACGAAAGGACAAGCATGAGGCGAACACTGTGTTGGCCACAGTCACTCAATTCAATGCTGTATCGTTTCGTGTCATCTCGAGTGTTCTAGTCGAACCCAGACTGAAACCGCAGGTCAGTAGCGAAGCACTTGTGCCAACGGAGGTGAATTGTGGGTGATGAAGTGGAATAATTTGATAGGTGATTGGTAGTTTATTTTGTGAATGTTAATGTCCTTTGTGCATTTGCAGGAGCGCGCTCTGATCATCGCCACGTGGATTGACATCGCACAGGAGCTGCGGATTCTCAAGAACTTCTCCTCGCTGAAGGCGATTGTGTCCGGGCTGCAGTCCAACGCGATCTACCGTCTGTCCAAGACGTGGGCGGCGCTCGTGCGTGAGAAGCTGGAGTTGTTCAATGAGCTGGCGCGCATCTTCTCGGAGGACAACAATGCGTGCGCCCAGCGTGAGGTGCTGATGCGCGAGGGCACGGCCAAGTTCGCGGACACGGCGGGCCAGAATGATCGGCACCTGCAGAAGGTGTTCCAGAAACAGAACACACACATCAGCCACGGCACCATTCCGTACCTCGGCACCTTCCTCACGGACCTCACGATGATTCACGCTGCCATTCCCGACACCATCGCCGACGGCCTGATCAACTTCGACAAGCGCCGCAAGGAGTTCGAGGTGCTGGCGCAGATCAAGCTGCTGCAGGGCGCCGCCAATGCATATCACCTGCCCGAGGACGCGCTCTTCGATCGCTGGTTTGCCTCGCTGCTGGTGCTCGACGAGAAGGAGGCGCACAATCTGTCGTGCATCCTGGAGCCGCCCACGGAGACGAAGAAGGCGTCGCAGGGCCACAAGAAGAGCGATTCCATCGCCTCCAACTCAAGCTCAGGAGCAGGATCCCAGTTCTACTGTGATTTCAACAACTCCACGCCAAGGTGCGAAGCTCTCCATTGGGATTTGTGACTTGGCAATGCCCGAAATTCTGCCTCTGCTTTATCTATGATGGAATGTCCTATTTAAATTCATTTTCATAGTAGGTTTGATGGGGATTTTGAGCTTATTAGCAAATCCTGCCGGATTAGCGTTTCAACAGGTTGCTTCACTCCCGATATAATGACGTCTTGCACAGTTTCTTATCTTTGTTGATCTTTCCATTGTGCAAATCACTTGATTTTCGCTCAGAAAACTCGTGAAGAGTGTAGCAAATATCCTGAAAGTTCTTCACTGAATGACTTTAAATAAGTTTGAGAGATTTTTTTTTAAAAACAATGCTTTTCACTAAATTAATTGATTGAGACTTTAAGAGTCTGAACTTTCCAGAATATGAAATCTAGAATGATTTTTTACTATTTTCTGAAATGGTGTGAAGCATTTTCCAAGAAAGAAAGGAATATTGCGAGTACTTAAACCCTTCCTGACACTGTCTTGCAGTTCCCGCAACAACTCCTTGGACAGAGATGCGACGCCGCCGAACGCGTCGATAATGTCGGCCGCCAGCAGCACGTCGTCGCTGTCACTGGAGTCGTCGAGCACGTCGAGTGGGCAGCAGAAGAACCAGTCAAGCCAAACCAAAGCCTCTCACATAAATGCGCAGCTGGTGCAGAACTCGCCCATGAAGAATCCCTCGCCGGACTTCTACATCATCCGCGTGACGTACGAGACGGAGAACGTGGAGCTGGACGGCATCGTGCTGTACAAGAGTATTATGCTGGGCAACAACGAGCGCACGCCGCAAGTCATCCGCAACGCCATGATGAAGCTGACGCTCGAGGGCGACCCGGACAAGTACACGCTGGCGCAGGTGCTGCCGGATCGTGAGCTCGTGATGCCCGCCAGCGCGAACGTGTACTACGCCGTGAACACGGCGCACAACCTCAACTTCATCTTGCGCCCGAAAAAGGACGACAGCGCCTGACTTCCGGCGCTGTCTTAAAGTACTTAAAGCGGACTTTCCTTCGCGCGCGCGCGCGAAAGGAGGAAATACTCAAAGTGCAAAGTGACAAATTAATGACTAATGCAACAATGAAGTTAATATATCTTAAGTAGACACACAAGACAGCATTGCACGCCTCTTAACAGTTGTTATCTCTTTTTGTATAGACACTTATTTATGACAAATTTTTTTTTAATAATATACAATTTGTACTTTTTACTCTCGAGTGGAGAGAGAGAGAGAGAAAAAAATGCGAAGAAAAGCGCCACGTTTCCTTTGTAGATATTTGTAATGATAGCGCGCGAATGAATCTCGTGGAGAGGAAAGAAAATATGAAAAATGACTTTTATTCTTCCACTTCATTTCCGCCATCAATAATGGGCGGATTGTTACTGGGTCAAACAGTCTCCCTCCGTCTACAAGATGCTTTCATCACGTATTTTTGAGAAACACACACGAGAAAATACACCGGAGAATTACATGATGGATGTTATCAATGAGGTAAAAAGTATGGGTTTTCTCGGGGATTTGATTTGATACTTCAACGCACTGATGAATGTGAGTTTTGTGCCGCAATATTGTAATTTTTCATCAGAATTATTTGCAAATATTGAATTTGGGTATGTTGGAATATAATTTTGAAATGAATTTTACATTGTTAACTTCAGTAATATTTTAAAGTGTTACTGTGTTATGAATAAGAACAGAAAAGAAAGCTTTATCACAAATTAATTCTAGATTAACTGAATTCGTGGTTAGACAAAATTCATTGGATGAAAATTGACTTTATTCCGTGCCGCGTAACGAAATTAATAAGTGTTCAGAGTGAAAACGGAGGTGAAGACAGTGGCTCTTCAAGTCATTATCGGCCAAATTAATCAAGTGTAGAGAACCCTTGGCGATGTCCGTAATTGCTCGCCGCGCAGTCAAGAGGCGGCGAGCAAAGGAAAGTTTTCCAATTTACAAAGTGAACGCTGCATCTCCGTGATCCAGTTCCGCACATCTCGCCAGAACGGGAGGAATTGATTTTGCGGCGCAGGGCGGATGTGGGCCACAAAAGGGTGAAGGTAAGGTGAAGGTTAGAGCTCCAGGCGAAGGAAAGACAGTGGCAAATAGGTCAGAGTAAAATTGCGCGGAATCAGTCGAAGGGTGGATTTTTGTGAAGGTGACACGCACACGTGGAGAAAATTGTTCCTTCTTCGCGCACGGCGACAATGGCAAAGTCACACGAAAATGTACCCTTGAATGGCACCAATTCAGGTGAGATTAAGTGCTTTGCCTGCCTATAGTGCTGTCATTTTAATTTTCTTGACATCCTCGCTCTCCCTCAAATTCACTTTCGCTCCTTTAGCTCGTGCTCTAGGCAAAGTGATATTAATTTGAATTGTAGAACAAGGCTCTGAATGCATAATGGTTGACACGAGTATTACTCTACAAAGGTTCGCATTGAGCGCTTAATATTGGTGGGGAAAAGCCTCAGCTATATTACAACTGCATTTATTATAATCTAACGATGTTGCGAAGTTCCATTGGTGGCGTAGTAATTTCTCCGCCGACCTTTTCTGCCGTGTCTTCTCTCCTGAGCAATCCATCCGCCTGAAAATGTACAATTCTTTATTCCTTCGATTTATTCTTCCCCAGAAGAATTCTTACTTGTTGGCTCGATTTTAGGATCGCATCGACTTGTGTTGCAAATTGCACACTCGAGAACAAGAAATTTGTGATCTCTGGCAATATTGAGATGAGCAACCCACTCGTCGCAGATATTTTTCAGTTCACAGCCTCTCTGAATGATGATTCCATCGTCTTTATCTAACAGAAGAAATCCTCAAGTTATTGCAAATAGTAATTATCTCTCAAACTATCGACTTACGATAGAAGACAGTTCGATAGCAAGCGTAATCTTCCATAGTTTCATAATCTTCATTTATAAAGCACGAATCAACGTGCATTTTAGTGAGTTTGTCGTCGCAGCGTCTGTAGTTGCCATCAGCGAAATCAGTGGTATCACAAGTGTAGCACTTCAGCACCTTTCGCATTAGCACGAGATCGCCGAAGAAGATCGCCAAGAAAACTGCGTAAAATACAAACTTTGGAAACATTGCGAGAACTCTTGAGCAACTGAACCCACTAAATATGCCGATGTGCTTATAAGGCGTCAAGATCAGAGAAGCGTTATCATTTCTTAGAAGTCAATATCACGTTGTATTAAAATGAAACTCACAATTCGCCCAATTCACAGAAGAAGCGCTTTTTTTGTACACTAAGAACTGATTTCAAGATAAAGAAATTCAAGAAATTTAACGTGTTTTTTCTGTGGAAAAAACCTTAAGTATATTTTTCGTCTGTCGGTTTGGTTTTATTGGGGAATAATCAAACAGAGAAGCAGTGAATGAGATTAAGTGTTGTGAATTGTTAGCAGGAAATAAAGAGTGCGTCTTTTGAGTGTCTGATCGCAGTTAATCAGTAATATCGAAATAACTTAGAAAAAGAAAGTAAAGAAAGCCTTAAGCAATTGCAAAATAATTCATAGAATGAACATCATCACACTTTCGACACTTTTGTGCATAATCTTTGGAAGGACACTGATTTATAGTGTGGCATTTCGTGCAGTGTTTGCAATACAATTCTACCATATCCTGATTTGTGAGCAAATCTAAGACCATTATCTCATTAGCTTCCGAGAACGTTGCAGTACTGAGTGGAACGTGGGGCTTTCAATTTGAATCCCATTTCCCCTCTTTTGTGGCGCGTCGCCAGGGCGCAGCTGTGTGGAAAACATCCCTCGCGTGTGGCACCCCGAAATGCCTTTTTCCACACATCGGCCATTTTTGTCATAGTCAGTTCGAGGTAGAATTTCCGTGTGGTCGGACGTTCGCTGTGCGCGCGGAGTACACACAACCCACCAACACCCCCAAGTGGAGCTGCAAGGAGGGCAGAGGAGCGAGCCTGTGTGACGTTGCGGGGGCTTTTCGCGGGGAGCAGCGCCTCCCTGGAATATCCTGATTGCACTCGTGGGTGGCTGCAGTCGAGGGGCTACTCAATGGTGCTAATTCTGGTGTTCAATGGTGGAAAAAAGATGTCGTGAAAAAATGTAGATGTAGAAAGTGTAAGTTGCGGTGTGTGTGTGAAAAAGGCAAAGTGGAATTCCTCAGTTTCATGCCATGGGCGCGCGGGGGAGGGAAAATCAATTGGGAGCGACAAACGTAGGGGTTCACGTTCTGTGTGTTGGTTCTGTTCCTTCTCACTGGGGGCCGGAGCGCCCACAGTGGTTGGCAGTGGGACGGTCAGGTGCTAAATGCGTATGCTTTACTTATTTCCATTCCTCAATATCATAAATATTGATCCCCGCACTCTGCAGCCTCATTCAGGCAACCTTTCAGGCCTCTCTCAGCCCCCTGCCGACCACCCGCTGCGGCCCTTCCCCCACCCGAAGCCTTCACCCCAACCCGTCGATATATTTCAAAACAACTCTATCAATAATTACAACTCGGACACACCAATTTCGAGGCATAACAGCCCCGAATTTGTCTTAACCACTTCTCCACGGCCCCAAGACCACCCCGACTGCTACCAGCGGCGGCGGCGGAGCCTGACGAGTTGTTGGGGTGCTTTGAAATTTACAGGGCGTTTGATTAATGGCATCGAAATTGCCTCGAGGGGAGCCAGTCCAAATTGTCTCATTTTCCAACTACAAATCTGCGAGAAAATGTCTCTCGCTGGCAAAAATAGCATCCGAATGGATGTCTTTCCCTCCACCGTGCATTTTCCACCCCATTCAATGGTGTGCCATGCAGAGGGACGCGCCACTATACTTGGCAGTGGTTCAATAATATCAATTTCATCACCGTATTTACATCCAAATCACCAAAACAACTCATCACGGGCATTGATTTCAGCGCTGGAGCGTCCATTTGTGAAAGATGTGACGCTCGAGGAACGGGTGAAAAGCCTTCAATTCAGCGCCTCAAATATGCTGGGATCCGCATAAATTTGGAAAACTCATGGTTTTAGTGACAAAGCGCACAAAATTCAGAAAAAAAAATTGCATTGACTTCTCTCAATTCACTTAATTTGCATAAAATAATTGATTTCTTCTGAGTTTGAAGAGCTCATCTTCGCTTCAGTAGAGAAATTGAAGCGCGGAAAGGAAAATCACTCGCAAACACGGTGAGCTTTGATCGCAATTTGTGAATAAAGTTTACTCAGGACATTTCGCTTTCCTCAAGAAAAGCCACGAACGTCTCACATGTGAGGTTTAAATGTGAAATTTAAAAGTTTTTGATGATCATTTGTTTACACAGAAAGTGCATTTTGGGGTCGTTCAATGAGTTTTCTTCAACACAAACATTCTGCAATTCAAATTTAAACAGCAATTATTCAGCTTTTTTGAGTCTCAGCTTGTCATGTATTGCACCTAAGTAATTCCGATCAGAAATCCCAATTGTCCAATTATTCTCAAGCTTTCCAGTGTTAATTAATGTTCAAGTTCATATACGCTGTAATAAATTGAATAAATGTTAGTCAATTTTCGTAATTTGACTCAACATTCACACAAGAGACTCAGCCAGAATACTGCGAAGCAAGAATCACAGATGCTATTAGATTTTCCAGGCTTATCGAGAGCTTTTTTCCTTCTTTACATAAAGCTTTTGGCGCTTGAGCGCTATTCAGATGGAGGAAAGTATTGAACGTGATTGAGGTTTTCTATGTTGTCTGACGAGTGGGTTGGGCTCAGAGTCCCTCAATAGAATGTCATTTCGCCAGAAGGCGAAGGAGTGACCGAAGTGAGAAGGGCTGCGAAGGCCGTGTGTGGGTGAAGCGCAGCCGAAACATGTCATGCAAAGCTGCGGATGTTTCTGCGTGTGCTCTTGGCCACAATTGATATTGTGCGGGCGTGAATGGAGCAAATCAACTCCATTTCCCCATCACTCTTATCTATCTCCTCCCTTCGCCAGCCGACTCAGGATGGATGTGAAAATGACTGGCAGAGGATTCTATTTCTGTCCAACTTCTCGTGTCAAGTGCACCACACACACCAAATGCTAAAGTAAATATACACATAAAAAGAGATCACAAGTGAGCAAAGAGCACGCGTGCAAATAAATTGTGGTGACGGAAGCCAAGTGTGGTAAAACAATGTTGAATTGCGAAGGAGTAAATATGTGCAGTGATTCAGCAGTGCAGTCGAATTGCTCCTCCTAAGACAGCGCAAAAGGGACACAATATGGATTTTATTGGAGATGGGCAGCTGAATTTTGGATAACGCCGACAGAAAAGGTAATAATCATGTTCTCTGCCATTCCTCAAATTGGTTTTTTTTTTGGGTGGACAAAGGAGATTAATCTCTTCTGCAACGACATTAAAAGTCTCCGAATTCATTGCGCCTTGAGCTCTTGAACGGATTCTCTGGGTGGAAAATTGCATATTTATGATAATTCCTTTTTCTTTGAAATTAAATTACAATCTCATGCCTCTCCATAGGCCCTAATTCCATCTTCTGACGCAACATCAAATATGTGATCACACAAGAGCATACATTATGTACCCACGGATCCTTGCCTTCGTCGCCTAACTTTTCGGTGGGTGGAGAAAAGAGCTGCCCTTTAAATAAATAATTCCCTTTCTTGTGGAGGAAGTAGCCGGAGTGAATAGCGGCGAATGCCATAAAAAAGAGAGGCCAAGGCATTAAATTTCCATCCACACATAAATCATAAATCGACAATATATTAGGGAGTGCTGTAGTAAAACGCATGTACTTCTCTCCCTATTAAGCAACCCTATTCTTCTGCCCTGAAACACCATTTTGGACGAGAGTGGCTCTGCTGGCTTCCCCGAAAACCACTGCAATTACACTTCCGATTCGGATATCACACTCTGTGGCTCTAATTTTGCGCGCTGAAAGATAGATTTATGACGCAACAAGAACAAGTGCACTTGATCCGTGACATAAATCACCTGAAAGACTTCAGAGATGAGCAATTTTTCATCATCACGGAGAAACAGGGTGTTTCTATGATTGACAAACACCCAGCGCATTTTCCGTCTTCTGCCATGGACTGAAACTTTAAACGCCCAGATAAAATTTTTATGTTGTGAGCTTTAGTATTGCGACCCACTTTCATTTGGTGGTAAAAATTCAGGTGTGCGCCTTCAATATTTTCGTGGAGTTTTTCTCTCTCTCTCTCGTCATTTAAGTTTTAAGGCTCAATAAATATTTCCGATATATGCACTATGGGGTATAAATTTGAGGGTTTTGTTTATGATTGTGGGAAAGTTGGGCAATTATCAAATAATTGATTTTTCATTCAACACACACGCGCGCGCGGGTAAAAAAAGGGGTGAAAATCAACTTTTGACAATAAATATTCAACAGCGTGTCAGAGTCTCGAGATCAAAACTCCACATCATTTCACATTTTCCAGTTCATTAGGTAAATGTTTGGAAAACTGTGAAGGCACAAAATCTCCTCTGGTTTGGCCATAAAGTACGGGAAAATGAAAATGTACTATAAAATTTTTTGTTCGAGTGGCGCCTCATTGCTTGGCCGCCTGGGAAAGTCTGCTAAGGACATCGAGGATGTTTTGCTTTCTCGTAAAATTGTCGCAAAATGAGCTGTTTTAATGCCGTGTGATGTTGTTTGGGACATTATAAGATAGCGACTTTTGGCATTTTTCAAGAAATCCCTTCAACATTTTCACACTGAATTGCAACACAGTGCTTTCGTTAGAGCTCCTTGCCGGGCAATAACATTAACATTATCAATATTATCCATATTGTTTCAGTGCTTTGCGTGAAGGGAATTTCCGGTGCATTTACAAAGATTTCAAATTGACTTCTATTACATGGTATTATTACATTTGCCAACGTGCAGAGCGGTTTATTGCACTAACAAGACTACGAAGTTATAACAACAATCTACTTCCTGAGTGGAATTCTCAGGATTAATGGTTAAGGGGGATTATTGTTGCCGTAACCTAGGTTATGTGAGGGAAATCATTGCAATATTTATTGATTCGTTGTGAATTTTTCACACAATTTCAAGGTCTCAATCGATTGCAATGCATTTTACAATATATACTTCAGCCCACAAATAGCATCCAAATCATTGTGATGCTACTAAAAATATCCCTGAAAGCTTGCCAAGAGCTTTCTCAGAGTGAAGAATGTTTTTTTCGTCTTCCTAATCTTACTGTATTTGCAAAATTCTATGAGCGAAGCTGCTCTCGGACGAACTGATGGCGGAAATGTAATAATGTAAATTCCATTCCTTCCCTCGACTTCACATCCTTACACACTGCATTTGCACATTGCTTATGTTAACAGTGATGCGGAATAGAATTTACGCTCTGATGAGCACATGAAAAAGGAGTTCAAATTTCCGGATTGCTTCAAGAACTCTTCAATATGTCTCTCATGATATTTCATCATATTTCTCGTATGGAATAACATTTTCCATCGATTTGGGGGAATGCAGGAAGGAAATTGCTTTCAGGCATCGAATGGACATTCCTAAATCTTCACATAACTCAGAATGGAATGCTTTGAGACTGCAAGTTGAGAAGGAATTCAAGATTTACTGCAATCCTCTGCAGTCTGTCGGGTTTTATCTAAGTCCATTACTATCTTATGACAACTAGAGCTTCTATGAAGTTTAAAGCACTGGAGCAGAAGATCAATCTGTCGACAATTGTCTCTGCTTTCGTTAAAAGCACATTTTCATTAATACTTCGTCTCCAACGCGAAGCTTCCTGTGTGCATGAATTCAAATGAACAGACGCAAATCCGACGTTTTTGGACGAGTATTTTGAAGGAAGCATCAGCTCAGCGTCACCATCATGGGAAAATGCCTGGCGTGAATATGCCTTTGAGACGTAAATTCCTCTTGACGCCACGGTGAAGGTGCAAATGGACGAGAAAAAATCAATGGCAACATTCTGTGCACGTCTGAGGAATATTCCAGGGCGCGACTCCTTCACTTAATCACCCAATTTCGATTCAGTCTGCCAAAAGGACTCTCTTGGGAGAGGACACAGTGCCAGAGATACGTTCACGTTTGCGTGTGGGTGATTGAAAGCGCCGTGCGGAGAAATCTATTGAATTTATTTGGACGCTTGCCGAGACTTTGACACCGAAGCGCTTTGACTATGTAGAGTGAGAGGCTTTCTTTCGGGGGTGCGGGGGTGAAAAATCAACGCTCGGAGATTGAGGTTATCTGATGAGCAAGATAAACTTATGGCCTATTTGGCTCAGCCGATTTCCACCCACGACCCAAAAAGAATCCCGGCTAAGGTCACTGCAGCTGTTGCTGCTCCGCCTGCAAATCCTTCCATAAACTGCTGGAGTTCAGGAATGATAAATAATTCCATGCAAAAGCACATAATGTACATAGAAACATGGTTTGATAATTAAACAAGTTATTTCAGATTCTCCAACCCCTGAGTTATGTCTTTGTTATCCTCCAGAGCAAGTTTATCGCTGTTGCATTTACTTGTATATCCAGTCGCATTCATGTGCAATGATACAATCACAACTTGTGCAAACTTCAGCACTATCACATTGAATAATTATGAAATTCAGCATGAAGATGGGGGAGGGAAAAATTAAAAATCAACCGATTGAAATTGTGTCGTGTTCCAAATTTTAACCAAAACTTTGGCGGCAAAGTTCAAAATGTTTAGCTAGAAATCTTTGAAACTCCAAATTAACCAATTCAAAGTTCACACAAACAATACAAGAGCATTATTTCAATGCAATGTCACAAAGTCAAAACAGTATTTCGTGTCTTGGACTTCATGGCATTGAGATAAATTCTGCAGAAGATGGAGAAGAAACTCTTCAAACTTGTCAAAAAGTTGAAATTCACTGAGTATTTTAGAGCCGAACAAACATTCTGTTGATTTAACTATGATAAATTGATTATTTTTACCAGTATTTTAGAGTTATAAGCTATTTCCTGGACTCAAACTCAGTTTTCATAGAATTCTCACAGTGCGAATCAATAGAAATAGAAGAAACAATAGTTTCTCTCCCTGCAAAGTGGCTAGAAAGATGGCTATTGGGGAGGAGCAGATGAGGATTGTGAAAAGCACGTGGAAAATCGTGGCGGCCAAGGCGCCCACGGACACTGGAGCTGCGATTCTACTGCGTCTCTTCGAGAAGTATCCGCACAATCAGAACTACTTCGCGTTCCGCGATGTGCCGCTGACTTCTCTGAAGGGCAGCTGTCTCTTCAGATCCCACGCGGGGCGGATTGTGGAGGTCTTCCAGCACACCATCGACGCCTTTGACACGCCAAACGCCATGACCGCAATTGTGGACATCTGGAGTGACATCGCGCGGACTCACTCCAGCAGGATGATCAAGAAGCAGTCGTACGATGAGCTGAAGGAAGTGCTGCTGGAGGTCCTGACTGAGATGTGCAAGCTGGATCTGGAGCAAAAGACAGCTTGGAGTGTGACTTTGGACACACTCTTTAGCATCGTGTCTGAGAAACTCTTAAAACTATCGAGTGAGTGAAGATGGAAATGCAGCCTGTGAAATTCGATGTGGATTATGTTGAGAAGAAAAATATATGATTAAATTGAGTGTGTTGAATAAGACATTTCCCCAGCAGTCACAAGTGGTGAAATGCTCATATTGCTTTCACATAATCCACAAAGCCCATCAGTGGTTAGTGGAGAACGTTTAAGAATAACAATTTTCCCCACCCGAGGCGGCATAATGAGGTGAATCAACAGAAATGGAAGAGGAAAGGCAGTAAATCTTGTGGACAGGAGCAATTTCATAATTGGCGCATGTACTCCACTGGAATAAACAATCAATTTTCTTCGTGACATTCTTTGCAATTTCCATCAAGCCGCCCAAAGCTGGGTGACAGAAAGTGGAAGTGATTGGTTTGTGGACGTCAGCGGGGGATTGGCAACCTGTTAGATCTCATTACGGCCCTACACAAGCCTTCCATGCTCTCTGCCCATCGGAAGTGTGGGCGTGTGGAGGTGAAGAAGTGACGCGACACGAACTTTAAGTCATCATCGCGTCATTGGCGATATTTCATCAATGCGAAATGATGATAGAGAGAAGTTTTCAACGCATCACAAATTCCATTCTGCTGCATTGTTGTGAATTTCATAGTAGAAAATTCCTCCACTCCTCCGGTGAAAATGCAAAATATTGAGTGAAGAGGAATTGTATTATATGCATTGCGGAAAAGTTCATTCAAATAGAAATATATTCCTATTTCAAACCCTCATTTGACGGAGGAATTTCCATTTCTATCCTCTCAGGATTCTCTGGATGTGCATTATCATTGTGCAATGGGAGGATAAAAAATATGAGGGATTTAATTGAAGAATGAGTGGGATTTTTGCAAAGTTTTTCAAATACAATGAGCGAATTTCAACGTTATATTTGTATCCTGGAAACAACAGTGAAAACCTCTTTGCCTCATGCATATCTAGTTGATATATTATCAAGCAGATTCTAGATTGATTCTGCACTTTGTGTCTGTGCAAATATACAGTGTGCCTAAACTGAATAGATACAGGGAAAACTTCTAATTTAATCAAAACTTTAATATGTTATTTTGCCTTAGATAAGTTATAGTTTGGCATTCCATGAGATAAAAACCGATCTCTGGCTTAACACAGAAGTGTATTGGAAGTTTTTCTGTGCTCGTTTCAGCTGAAGTCACTGTGATTTGTGAACACAATTGTGCATCATATTAGATTCAATCGCCAACAAGACCGCCGCTGTTCTCTCTGCAGAGACGCATTGATTATTCCATTCTGCATTGGTCACCCTGTCCTCACCTCGCCTCTGCATCTCAGAGCGATGGCAGTCGCATTTTGAATTCACCCATATATGTATGTAATTCAACGGCGAATCCTCCGAGAGCGTCTGAGGTGGATTGAGAATGAATCACCCACGGGGTGGAATAGAGATATTCACATGTGAATTATTTACGGTACACTCACGTGCATGTGGACGTAGTGTAAATAATTGTATGTAAAAAGTGTTCTTGCTGGATGCTGAGAAAGTGGCAAACAATATGATAATGCGCCCTGCAACTTGTTCTCTCTTTCCATTCGCAAAATGTTCCATCCTGTGTCTCACATTTCGCAAACACGAGATTGTGAGGAAAAAGTGTGGGTTTTCTGAGCTTTCTGGGATCCACAGCACAATGTGGTGGGTTTCATGAGAAATTGTCTCTCAGACGAATTACACCGCAGTCCTTCTTCCGCCGTCTGCATGCGTACAAAGGCATGTATATTTGAAATTTTATTGACTCAACAACCGGGCGTCTCCATTGTTTCGGGCCATGGAGGAGTGAAGAAGACGGCGCGCGAGCGAGAAGGATGTCGCATGGCAACGAAAAGCGCGCAATGAGCGCAAAAGACTGGTGTTTTCCGTGGTCAGACACACTCTGATGATGGCAATTGATATGATTTACTGCCGTCAGATGCAACATCGGCGCCCGCCTTGGGCGATTGTGGCCCCCAAGAGCATGCATTTATGTGCATAGCATGAGTGTGCAGATGAGGGGCAGAGCACAGTCATAAGTCTGTCTTGGGCAGAGCCAAAGACACTCCTGCAGAGCCTCTGGGTTCATCCCAAGAGGACGAACATGGCTGGAGAGTCATGATGACCTATTTAAACTTGCACTTCTCGTCTCAACGAAAAATGCACACCTCTCTTTGACCCATGACATCACGTACTGTGCAGATAATTTTCAGGAAATGTGCGAAAGCTTCCACAATAATCTCCCTTTTCAATTTCCTCCGCTCTTCGATGGCACTTTGAATCCGATGCCTTTTCCCATGTACTACATAACGTACATATGTAATCTACCCAGTTAGTCTTTGACGAATCTGAGCTCATTCAGAGACACAAAGTGTGATTATTCACTTTAACAAGTTCATTACGAAAGACGCGAGTTTGCCTTCATTAGCTATATATTCACTGATTAAGCCAAAGATGTGACTAAAAATTGTATTCTTGTATTTGAGGCGGATTTTGCTGCTTTGACTTCTGCACATTTCCACTGGAAAACCCAGGAAATTGAATTGCTAATCCAACAGCAAATTATGCCCCACAAAGCACTATCATAAATGGTTAATGGATTACAGAATGCTTCGTGAAGTTTCCCCTTTTTTTGCCCTCCTAAACAATGCAATAAAGTTATTTCATTATGTTGCATGAGCAAAAGTGCTCCTGGATGAATATTTGTTTGTTTGTGAAATTTATAAACCGAGATCCACATTTCATACAACCAAACAGCATTCCACACGAGACCAGAAATTCATGTGGCGAGCAGAAGAGTCACTATTTTATTTTCTACACCCGATGTTCTCGGTGTCTTCTACAGATGTATTAAAGGTGACCTGCGACCCCAGATGCACCCTCAGTATTAGGGCGATTCTGGGAAATTCCCATTGCTGCTCGACGGGGAAGAACTGATGGAAAATTGTGTGGGTGGGCGGGATTTCCCGCCCACATTTCGGCCACTTTAAAATTCCGTCGCAGAATTTGATTTCATATAAAGTATAGGTTCTTCACTATGCCCACCACGTATTCAATGGTGAATGGGTTAAAAATGATTTTGGGGGTGGCGCACGTCTTCCGCCCCAATTGCGATGTGTACACGAAACGATGCAAGGGGACGTTAATGTGATCGAAAGAAACAGAACTTAAATCAAACATAAATACTAAGAAAGTGGTTTTGAAGTTCCATAAATGCTTCGTTTTGAGCTTTATATAAAATGGCTCTTTGGAGATGTCTCAATGTTTGTATTTGTTCTTATGATGTTAGAAACAGCAATTTGAGTCTCATTTCACTAAATTATGAGTGTTTATTACTCTTCTATGTGGTAAAATTGAAAATTAATTTTCAAGCAGAGAATTTATGAATGTGGAAGCCATTGAAGAAGTCTAAACAGTGCTGAAAGCGAAGGAAAATATGTCTCTTTAGGCAAATGTTGAGCGGTGTTAGTGATTTTTCATCCAAATTGACAAAGCGACAGGGAAGTTGTGTTCAGATTTCAACCATACTATCTCCCCCTTGGAATGATATATGAACGGAAAATATCCTTCACCACCGCATGACAAACCATTCACGGGCTGTGAAGATATTCCCATGCAACTTTGCGGCAGAATGTTCCTCCCTTTTCCGACCAAAACCCTATCAAGTGGGCGAATTTAGTGTCCTCGAGACTCCAAAGTGGATCACTCTAGCCACACTTCAGCTCGAATTAATTCCCTGGTAACTCAATAGTGTGCTCAGAGTGGAAACTTATCCGATTCCGCTCTCGAGAGCCACTGAACAAACGAGAAAACTGCATCACTCTGCGAGGGTGTTTTAATTCATCCTGTGTGAATCGATATTTCTTCAAAGTCATAATCCTGCGGCACACGTCACGATACGAGAGCGGAAATGTTGGCGGGGAATGGTTAACAATTTCCGCATTTCATTACATACCTTCAATGGATAATGGGTTGTGAATATAAATCATACTTTAAAGACTCAATCATTTAGTGATTTACTCTATCGTTGGCTGGCATCTAAATAGTTTTGAGACCATTAATAGAGCCGTGCGCCGTTGTTCTTTTTCTCCACACAGCGAAAACCCATAGCGGAGATGAAGGACTATTGGGGAAAATACATAACATATCCGTGCGCTATAAACATGCCTCTCCCAGCAGGGCAGTTCATTATTGTGCTCCTTTTATTATGAAAAGTCGATATTATTGCTTGTTAATAGCATGGATTTCGCAATGAAATATTGTAATAGAGTGTGAGAGCTTAAATGAATTGAATGCGCCGCAAAAGTTGGTTTAATTTTGGGTGTGAGAATTATTTATTTACTAGAGGGGGGAAATAGTTTTATATTATATACAACGGAGCGAAAATTTGCCCCCCCCTTAAATCGCATCGCTGAAAATCTTGACTTCAATTGCTTTTCGATGCGGAAATTAATATTTTGTCAAACGCATAACTTTATCAATCACTTTTCATAATATAGTTCTACTTTCAGCTTCAATCAATATTCATCGAATAACTTGATTAAAAATGCATATTATGAGATTATTGCTTTAATCACAAAACTTGTCAGTTCAAACATACTTTGAAGTGAAGATTAAGTAATAAATTTCAGATAAGATATTTTGCGTTAATTGACTGGTTCAATTATAACTTGCCCTAAATCTCTGTGAGAGAGAATTTTCCTAGTGGATTAAGGAATAAGAAGCTGAAATTCATTGATTTCATACATATTTTAGTGAAAATTTGCTGTATTTAATTTTAAAATCGAGCGCCGTTATTTGAAATCACACGATTATTTATGAAAATAAACAGAACAGAATATTCCGTGTTGACATTGTGCAATTAGGGTCCTTAGGCTGTTTGTCCTCACTTCCGGTCCGATGCTCAGCGATAGCGAGAGCCGGAAAGCGGCCACGAGCCTGGCATAATGTGTCTGTTTGAGTACTTATAATGTGTTTCCGTGGCGTCGGCGGAAGAACTTCATTTGCGAGCAATTGCTCAATGGCGCGAGTGTCATTATCCAATTAAGCGGTGTGTTTGTCGCCCTTTGCAGGTGTGCGGAAATGCGCTTAGGGGGCGCCCAGAGTGGCGGAGACCCCCTGGCGATGGGCGCGGGCAGCGACTATGCGGAGCTGTGCGAGCTGCAGCCGCCGCGCTGGAGCTCGCGGGCCTACCATCCGGGCCATGGCGCGGGGCACCCGCAGCACGCGCCCGCCGCGGCCGTGTCCTCCAGCTCCAGCCACATCCGCTCCAACAGCTTCGAGGCGGAGGACATCGTGGGCCCCTACGGCAGCACGACGTCGCGGATCGGGAACAGGTGCGCAATTACCGGCATTTTCTCCTCTGTGCGGAATTCAATTTCACCGCATGGCCGAGTCAAGGGGTGAAATTGATTCTCCCACATTAAGTGCGATAATGCAATTACTGTTGACGCTGCTAATGCAATTATTGCCCTTGCCGATGATGCACAGCGCCATTTGAGGCGGGATGAAGACACAGGAGAAAATTGCCATTAACACCGAAGTATTCATTTTCAAGCCTCACGAGCACACGATTTTGCCTTTTTTATGTCCTCTGAGCAATTTAAAGCTGAAGCAGTGAAGCCAACAGCAATTGTTTATTAAGTTTCACTGTAGAAAAGTAGATTTGTGAGCGAATGCATTCTCACTTGTGCGGAAATGTGCTTTTCCCTCCGAATGCAGCACGAGCTCTCTGCGCGGTCGCTCCGGACTGTACTACTCACCACCGGGGACGTCTTACACGATAGTGGAGCGCCCCCACTCACCCCACTACTACTACAACACCGCCGGCGCCCCGCCGAAGGGCGGCTCGCTGCCCGGCCGCGGCACATACTTGGGCTCCTCGGCGTCGGGACTGGCAACAGGTGGCGGAGGTTAGTGTCTGCGGATCTTGGAACGCGATGGGGTTCCATCATTTTCACTTCCTAATGACGTGCCATTATTGTGGTTTTTTTGCCCTTTCCTTTCATGAAGCCGGCACCGTTCCAAATTCAACACGCCACAACGGCAAGAAGCGACCAATTTCGCCAGAGCAAGTGATCCGTCTCTTCGGCACCACGTCCTCGTCGTCCTCCTCGGTGCCCACCTCGAGTCAGTATTATAGCAACGGCACTCGCGATCGCGCCGGACGTCGCAGTCCAGCCAGCAGTCCGCCATCGACAACACACCAGGTACACACTCTTCCGGTGGCCTCAAACCACCCCACGAGCCTCCCTCATGAGCCCAGAGACAGCCTTCCGCTGGCTCAAGGCAGTGAAAATACTGTAAAACCGTAACTTTTCGATTTAGCAAGCTGAGAAATTATAAATTTTGAGGAAAAATTCATCATTGCAGATATATCGAGAACGAGACCGAAGCATTCCTAACATTCACGAACTCTCCACGCGAACTGTGACAATGTCGCGAGATCAGCAGCCAGAGAGCAGCCATGGTTTTGGCATTTGTGTCAAAGGCGGCAAGGATTCGGGTAAGGATTTTAGCCTGGCAAGAAGGAAGAACCTACGAAGATGAAGAATTTCACATTCACAGAATTGCAATTGGAGAAATTCAATGGGAATTGGGCGAAAGAATTGTGTTGCATTATAGAGTTTTGGGTGCCTCATGAATGATTCGTACATCTTAATAGAAAAGTCTCACGAAAATGTCAGGGAAAATTGGTTTTCCGTCGATGATGAGGCCTCAATTCGGTTTTTTTTCTGTAATTCAACACGGAAATTGATGAAATTCTTCCCATTTCTCTTGCTGCACTATGAATTTTCAGTGTGTTGAGAGTGAGAGAAGGAGACAATATTGTAAAAGTTCTCTCACTTTTGTGGGAAGTTTTTCATGAGTTTGAGCCCCAAATAGTGGCGCAACTACACAAAATTCTCATAAATATTCTTCTTAATCACAGGAATTGGAGTTTATATCTCACGAATTGAGGAGGGATCTGTTGCTGAGCGGGCTGGCCTTCGACCAGGCGATACCATCCTAGAGGTTAATGGAACTCCTTTTACTGCAATAAGTCACGACGAAGCATTAAAGGTACTATAAATAAATACCTCCTTAATGCTCTCTTTATTCAAAAGCAAGAGTGGAGAAAAAAGAGAAGATAGAGAAAGTGGAGAAGGGAGGGAGAATAATTAATTGTAGCATGAAAAGGAAATATTTGGATTTCAAAGTGAAAAAGAAACCAACCAGGGAAAATTGCATGAAAATTTAATGAATAAATATTGCATCCGCAGTATTTTCAAGTAAATACTGAATAATAAAAATCGTCCAAGAGAAAAATTTTCCACGCAATTCTCCAATGTTGGCCAGCCTTGAGAAAGCTCTTAATTTTCTCTATTATGTCTCCCTTGTTGATGAATGACTTCCTAAAAAATGTCTGTTGAATGTCCTTGCGAGAGATAAATAAGGATGTGCTAAAATGGAAAAAATTGGCAATAGAAATAGTGTCTCATTAGATGATAAATGTATTCTCAGTTTCATTCCCAATTTCATCGTCCAGAACAGCATTCATCTTCATGTTGACGCTCTTAATTCCACTTCTCATTGCTTAAGCAGAGAAATTAGCATTCAGACTCATTTCATTAATTATGCAATATTTTTCAGTGAATATTTTTCATGATTTCTAAGAAGGTAGAATTTCTTTTTGATATATTTTTCAATATTTATCTTCATTAGATTCAATCGATATATTTAAGTTTGTACGTAGTTTATGTAAGTTATCGGGAGGGTGGCTCAACAGTCAGTTTCGCGCCCTGAAATTTGAATAAGGGATTGCCGCTAAACCCGATTATGAGTGCGGTTTTTACGGTTTATGTATCTGGGTCAGGTAAATAGGACTTTCGCAATAAGCGATAATTCTCCGGCAAACATACATAGTAATTAGCTGCGGGGAAAATATCATGTACGTCGTGATTTAAAGTCTCAATCGGGTTTGGCAAATATTACGACTTTGCTCATAGTTTTGCGCTATCTAAACAGATTTATTTCGGCACAGTTTGATGCATAAGCGAAAGTTTATTTCACTTTGAAGAGATTATCCATTGAATCACCCTGCAAAGTCTTCTGCCAAGCACGTCATCCTCAGTTGTGGAGTGCATTTGTTGTTTTTCATCGTTCTCCCTGATTGTTGCATTCATTCTGTAAATGGTTTCTTTAGCACTTTGTCTCCTGTTGACACACTCTCATGTCCTTTCGCCGTACAGCAACTATGTTAAAGTACTCTTGGCGCCCGTCAGCTTCTCACAGTCATCCAAGGGGAAGATGCTATGGTGAGAAGAGGCGCACGAGAGTGTGCAAGTTTCAACCCTATACTATCTCCCCCTTGCTGCCATTCGTAGTTGTCCCTTTGTTGTCTCTCTAGTTTTGTTCTATTGCCATTTTTCCTCATGCAGAAGTGTGTGCAGATCCTGAAATCGTCGCGCCAGATTAGCATGACGGTGCGATCGCCGCCTTCGCTCACGTCTTCGGCGCCTCTGCACGGCTTCGGGCCGCCGCCGCCGCGGGAGTCTGCGTATCCGCCGCCGTACAGGCAAACCTGCTCGTGGATGGACCGACATGGGCGGCCGGCGTCGCCACCGATGGAGTACGGCGGCAGACGTCATGAGCGACGCGACAGGTAAATCCGCGTGATTTCTCGCCAGCGTCAAGCTCACGCAAAGTCTGCTCGTTCGCAGGATTCGACGCGTGGAGCTGCTGATCGAGCCTGGCCAGTCGCTGGGCCTGATGATCCGCGGCGGCGTTGAGTACGGCCTCGGCATCTTCATCACGGGCGTGGACAAAGACAGCGTGGCGGATAGGGCTGGCCTCATGGTGAGTGCAAAATCTGCCGAAGACAAGATGATAAATTGCACGGAGAGCAACAGCTTTGGTGGACTTTCAAGGGGTTTAGTGCTTCTGTTTCGAACATTGCTGCCAAATTCGAGGGTTTTCTGGCAATTATTTGAAAACATGACATATTTTAGGAATGAAAAGGAGAGGAAAAACTATAGAACAGTTTTTAAATCCTTTGAAATATGGTTTAGAGAAAAGTTTTTAATTTTATATCACGTTGTGAAAGCTTTTGTAAATTGTCATTAAAGAAAGACAAATAGTTCAAAGAAATCATAACTTAATACCCTTAACGTAAATTGGTACTCACATTTACCCTTTTATCTTGTAGGGTTTAGAATGCAAATGGTGTTATTATATGTAATCTGAAGAGAATTGTAGCTTCATTCGTAAAGCACAAAGAGCTTTGAGTATCTAAACATACTATAATATAAGATGACGTTAAATGGAAGATAGCATGTCAAAGAGAAAGACATATCAATAGTTCAAACGAAAGTCAAATGAGAGATAAAGCTGTAGTGTTAATGAAATGTTCTATCATTTGTGCTAATCAAGTTGAGAAAATTGGGCGGAGCATTCGAATGGGCGTGTTTTGTTCTATGCAACAACGCACAATGAAGAGAATTTGCACACAGGTCAGATTCAAAGGGTTAATGACTGATGAAAACCACTCTAATTGATGCCCTTGTTGCACCAAATTCACGCATGCTGATATCAAATGTCTTCTCTTGTGTCTTTGTGCCAGATTGGGGATCAAATTCTCGAGGTGAATGGCCAGTCGTTCGTGGAGGTGACGCATGACGAGGCCGTGGGACAGCTCAAGTATCACAAGAGGATGTCGCTGGTGGTGCGCGACGTGGGAAAGGTGCCCCACTCGTGCACATCCGTGGAGCCCGAGCCTTGGGATCCGTACAGTCCGACGGGGACGCGCAGCCGGCGAAAATGTCCAATATCGGCGATGGTGGAGGAGAAGGCGCGCTCGCTGCTGGCTCGCCACCACTTTGCCAGCCTCTCGTACTACATAGCGGAGTATGGGGCGCGCGCGATGACCATAGATGCCTTTGTTTCTGTCCTCCTCGAGATGCTCGACACTCCTGAGAAGGTGATAATCCCTCGATTGGGATCGAGAGTGCGCGCGTCTTAACATCTTCTCACACCTTTTTGCAGCACACACTTGTCACGGAAATTCGAGAGCTCATCTTCCCGGAAGACAGAACGAGATACGATGAACTCGTCTACCGGCGAGACGTCTACAGAGATTCTATCGATCGACACAGGGTAATATATGCACACAAATTACTAAAGCCTTTGCCACCCCCGCGCGCAATCCATGGCCAATAGCCATTCAATCGGAAAATTGTGTAAGTAAACAAGCGCGCTTGTCATGGTCGCCAGAATGGCGATTTCTACAGTTCGCCGACTGACCAGTGAATATGTACAAACGGCGCTGCGGGTCGGCCGCGTTTTTGGAAAATAAACCCCCGCCGAAGCTTATTACAATTCCCACACGACACCCCAAAGCATGAGCGACGATTCCAGAGCCGATTACGACTATGTTTTGCACTATATTTCGACCATATCCGAGGCACGCGATTTCCTAATTACAGACTTTTTCCCTGGGACTAATGGTGGCGTTTATGAGATTGCTGCTGTTCTTGGCCCATGGCGGCAAAGGTTGGGGACGATAGTTTGGCTTTTAAAGCAAATTAAACTTGAAAATTCAACAAGCACACTCCGAAATCTGCGTGAAAGTGAGTGCGATGGATTCGGAAATGGAGCAGAATTGCGGACGCTCGAGTGACTGACAAGTTGATGAATGGAGTAATTGAAATAATTGAAAAAAAAACACACACATTCGCGAAATGGCAAATAGTGGACAATGTGACTTGGTGGGATTTGCTGGGAGAGATAATTTGCCTTTGTTATCTGGCTGTGCCATATTTTTGCTAAATTGAAATTTAATCTGCATTCATATAATGTTACCAAAGTTTTCAAACCATAGATAGTGAAATATGATATGCGATAAGACCTTCAATTTAACTTGTACTGCATTATTCTGGGGGTGAAAATGTGAGCCTTGCGGAGTTACAAGTCGCTTTCCACGCAAGAGAAGGAATAGAACTAGAATAATTCCTACAGAATTCTGTATTGTCGTCACATTATTACTATAAAATACACTTCAATGTAAGCTCAACAGTACTTTCTTAGCTTTTCCACTAAATTCTGGGAAGTAATTCAATGACAGCTGTCGTTAAACAGCTTTGATAGAACTTTCGAATACAAAGCTTCAAGGTTTACGGGAGACATTTGTCAAATAACATTTGAGTACAATAAATCATGCTGAGATATTTTCTCATCTTGAGACATGTATGAGACGTTTACACAAATTTCCAAGAACTCTTTTCCATAGGAAAACTTAACTCCAAACATGAAGAATACTTTTTGTTTCTGGAAATGGTCATAAAATCACTGACTTTCGACGAAGATTTTTAATCTCTTCTTCTTCTCTGTCCTCTTTTACCGTCACTGCCACAGCGGAAAACGGATTTACCACATTCTCATGAACTCCCGGTAAATATTTCTCAGCCAATTGATTATCTTGTGTGTCTTTCCTGACATCCTGGTTTTGCCAATTAATCACCTAACCATCAAGCTATATTGCATGCCTTTGTGATCTGTTTAGCAAAGTGAACGATGTATTAAGCTTAAGTGAACAATTCTTGAATCTATGGTAAAATAAGTGAGTTGATTGAATGCTTGCCACTTGAAAAATGCAATTTATCTACTATTGTATACTTTTTGGTATGATAAAGAGCAAGTCGAGAGGAGACAAAAAGACGATGAAAGTACAAATTGTCATGCAGAGATTGTGTACTTTTCGACATATCAATGCTTCTTTCTCGTGATAAATAAGAAAAAAGAGAGAAAGAAGCCATCGAATGCCAATTTATTTTATATCTTTTCTTCTTTGCTACCAAAAGAAAATCATCACTTTCCAGAGTGCAAAATAGTATCTAAATTTATATCTTTCTTTCACTCTTAAAATGCATTTTGCTGTGTGTATATTTTCAATTTCCACGCAATCGACACAAAATGATGGTCATATAACAGCGGTGAGTGTGAAAATTTCAACGAACTTCCAATGAGAATAACATCTAAATTCAGGCGTTATATGACCATACAAAACAATTCTTCTATTTGCAATTGATATTGAGCATTCTAGAGTCATATTTTGCTGCTGAGACATCTTGGCAAAAACATTCATTTTTTTCCTATCCTTCTTTTTCTTTAAGCAAAAAGAGATGCCAACAAATTGATGCTAATTCGCATACAATTTATCTCTTTGGATTGCGCAGCAGAATTCTTTGCTACTTTGTTAAAGTTAGCCATAACTTCTTCAAACTCTTCTTCACTATCATTTACAATATGATGAATCTTTGTAACTCTCTTGACCACCTTTGAAGCACTTTTGAATTTTTTTCCAAGCTACTGATTTGTGTCATCAAAATGAATTTTCACATCTTACGCTGAGTCACGGCCTTTCTTCATATATTTGGTCTCTTTGACACTCCAGCAAAATCACACACCAATTTGTCTTCTCTAGCAAAACAAGAAGGTGTGAGAAAGTTATTCTGATTGATTAGTGCATTTCACAAACAAAACACCAAAAGCTCTTCTGCTAGAATTCACTTTGATCACCTTTGTTGACTGTGTTGAAAGATGCTCAAGAATGGACGGATTTTCAGGTATCGGACGTGGACTTGGAAGTGATTGAAGCAACTGGACGCAGTCCATCCGAAGATTCGGGTCTTGGGATGGCGGTGAATGACATTAGAAATCGGTATATTTTCCTACTCATTTCATCACTTAGTTTTCACATCACAACAACTCTCGCAGAACTTCCACGCACAAAAGGGATTCCAATCAATTGACAAAGTGTTGTTGGTCTGGTTTCTGTACTAATTGGCTCAGGATCTCATTTGCAGTTGCAAATTTGTGTGTTAAATATGTCATGCAGAACACAATACCTTAAATTCTGAAGCATTTTCCCCTTTGTCCTGAGTCAGTGGGAAAAGTGATGATTGATTCGCAATGATATTTGCGAACAACATGATATTTTGATCTTTCACTGTGCAATCAAACTCGTGTGAATCGACTAGTTTTGCTCAAAATACATTAACTGCCCTGAAAAGTTATTGACATTCGCGAGTCCGATAACATTGTGAAATTGATTGGAAGCTCTCTGGCGAGTGTAGGGACGAGTGGCGAGGGTGAGGACGAATTGAAATCAGTGGCAATTTATATACAGACCACCAGCACCTTTGCCCTATCGACCAATGTCGGCAGGTCCAGTTCTCCACCACCACCATCTACACCATCAGTATCAGCATCCCTCTAGTCGGTCAGGATCACAGAGTCAATTAACAGATGCAGCCACTGCTGCGCGCACCGGAAACGTGGCGCCGAGGCCCGGAAATGGAGTTCAGGTGATTGCTTTCCTCCCTCTCAAGTCAATTATCCCACTTATAAATGGTTTTTTAGCAAATGAAGGGAGCTCCCTGTTCTGGGCACATCTCGGATGTCCTCAGGCAGACAAACGCAATAAAATGAAATTGGCATTCGATGGTCAACTGACGCGTTCCCCGTCGAATTGCTAATTTTCGTGGCTCTGTGTGCGAGAGAATTGGATGAAAATAGAGATTTATTCCATTTGACTTGACTTGTGTGCTAATTAATGTTGTGATTGAAATGTTGTGACTGTATTTTGCTGTACATGTATATCCAATATGCTGTTCCACCTCATGCTGTCGCTACAGAATCATTAATATTGTATGCGAAAAAATGCAACAACGAAAAAAACATTCACTGTTGTCCTTTTGTAGGACTATAATTGCGATGATCCCAGTGTAAGGAGGGGAAGTGGGGTGCAAATTCCTCGCTCTGAGTACGAACATGACTCGGTAAGTGACGATATTTGCTGGCCTCCCGTCCCATCCTTTTTCTGCCATGTCCTCCAAAGCAGTGACCAGTCCAAAGTAGTGTGTGTGTATGTGACACCCGGAAATTAAAAGTTTCTTCCTGCGCTCAGAACAGAAACTAACTTGGAATAATTAATCTGATACAAATAGTTGGTTAGAAACTTTACGAATTAGATCGAACTATGCGTAGAATTTAGTTCTTCTTCTTTGCAATCAGAATTTATATATTTTTTCCTCTTCAAATGCCTTGCATTTGTAATTCTTATTATTGATGTCGTAAGTCGTGTCACTGCGCCACTGAGCACAAGAGAATTTTCATCCCAATGCAAGCGTCCTAAGATAAGGAGAGAGTTTAAAAGTTTTCTTCTTTATTCCATACTTTACAAATATTATGTATACTTTATAAATACATATTAAACTTGTACGTTCACTTCAACTGCTGGGATAATTAGTCATTTGTATTTGAGAGCAACAATTAAGACTTTTTTCCGACGCGCGGAAGAAAGATTTCTCGTTATTTAACAATTTGAGAGTTTCGAAAGAATGTCTTCGGAGATGGTTTGGTTTGGGGGGACTGCAATTAACACTGCGGGGGTGGAAAACAAACTCAACAACGGTCTCTAATCGGAAAGAGTTGTGCGCTAATCGCGCGTCCCTAGAGCTTCTCCTGCAGCGCCTGCCGGATTTCCTCGGTGTCGCTCTGGAGCTGCTTCATTTGTCTCTCGGGACTCGAGGGCGCGGCGAAGTCCTCGCCACCGGCCAGGTGGTAGTCTCGCGGGGGTTCTCGCGGCATCAGCCGGCCGCTGCGGTGCGGCGGGCTGCCGGACGACGAGCCGAACTTCGGCCGCGGGATGCGCAATTGCTTCACGTCCACCAGCCAAGTCTCCATGTCTGTGACTTGTCCAATTTACCACTGGCAGCCCACCTTCGACACGATTGCGTGCTCTCTGAAATCTGGTAAACATTTCGGCCGATTAGATATTGTGTAATTTAATTATACAACAGACGAAATGGTATTTATCGCCAGTGAAGTAAAATATTTTTGCCGATGAAGTGCATTGGGAATAAATCATGCGAATAATTGTGATATTAAATCCATCAGAGAGCTTTAAGCTCGAATAGCCCGAAGCTTTTGTCCAATAATTCACTGCGGAAAAACGAAACATGAGTTCTTTGCGCATTATGTCGATGGATTTGGCGGCAAAGCTCTCGATTCCAAAATGGATTCAATTAAGAGGATCCACTCTAATGAATCACATCCAATTTCATGCTTGACTTTGAAGGTGGCCTGCTTTCGCTCTCGCGCCGTGGATTTGTTGGTTTTATGACATTTCAGCTCGATCATTAAATCGATGCTGTGCAGCTGAATTTTAACAAGATTGCCTCCAATATCTCCGCAGCGGAGAGGCCTCAAGGGTAAAATGATATTTCACTGTTGATGCGCGGTCTAATCTGCGACAACGGCGATATTGGGAATTCACGACGCACAAGAAACCACTTTTCCGCTCGCGAGCTTTGGGAAAATGTTCACATGGTGCAGAGGATTTATCGGGCAACGTGTTTTCGTGAGTTGGAGTGCGCTGTCAAGCCACTGTTTTTGGTCATTGCGGCGTGGGTGGCAAAAAGGGGGGGTCAAATGAGGTGGAAGACAGACGAAGTCATTGTGTCGTGAGAAACGTGATTGTGCTATTTAAACAATTCCATTCTTGGGTGTCTCTCGGACTGCAGAAGCCGATTCTCGAGGGATCATCTTCCGAGTGTTTTATTTGGCGACTAACGGAATCTACAGAACCGCGATGCCCTACAAATAAACTTACGATCGCGGCGATTGAATTCATGCCTTGTCTTTCGTCTCTCTTCAACCGTTCTCGAGCAGCAATTGTTGCTTGAGAAATTCACAAATATTGTGAATAAACATTTTCAATTGTTTTCTTGTTGACTCTCATTATATTGGAAGTTAAGAATATTGGGATGCTTTGTAACAATCTTATTAGGCAATTCATTTAACTTCAATGGGCGGAGCATTAGAATGGGCGGAGCCTCGACTCGGATTTCATCTTTATCAAGCTAATTTCCAATTCCTTCTGAAACTGAGATATTCCACAGAGGTTTCTGATAAATCTCGGCTACCACGTGTTATCTAGGGCGTCTCAGATGATTTCTGCCTTCTTTCAGTGAGCATTCCTCCTCCGCTCATTTTCGCAGAGTTCAGCGTTCAATTTAGCGTGGAGCACACTGACTGGCAATAAATCTTCTGATATTATGAATGCAAATAACGCTCGACAAGCTTCAATATTGATTCTAAGATGCAATGAAGAAATTTGCCTTCTCCCATCTCAGTGTAACGATGACAATCGCTGATTCTGGTGAACTACTTTTCATACAAATTGCGAAGGATGCGAATGTGAAGAGCAAACGGACTAATTTGTGTGCCTTGTGCATCCCCAAAGATTGATTTTTCATACACTTCACAAGTCACTTTGGCTCATTTGCTCATTTGGTTACGGCCCAGAAATGCATCGATGCATCGTCGAGTCTTTAACAACAATGCCATTCAGTGCAGTACAGCATTGAGGTGGGAAGTTGTATATTGCCATCATTTTCGTGCAATTACACGAGAAAGTAAATTTTATGCACATTCAAATTGTCTTCCCACCTTTTTAATTCACTATCTTTCCGGTGCACACATTTTATATATTCCTTTTATCATTCAGCCTCTCTTTTTCACTTTGCTCTTGTGAAAATTATACTCTGCGATGTTTTGTTTATTCAAATGTAAAAATGAAATCATGCCTTTTGCTGAAGAAGTGCAGAGAGGAATGAGAGAATGGAGTAATTTAATTTGTCGAGGCGGAAATACACCGGCATAAATAGTGCGATTTTGCTGCAAGTCAGTGCGCAAGAGAGCAATTCTATAATCGATTGATTCTTCACCTCCTCCTTGCGAGATGCTTTGTTTTATTGTGGGAAACTTTTTATGGGTCATATTGCAAGTTTTATAAGACTGTGAATTTTGTCATTTCGTGTGTCTCAGCGCCGGATTATGGGCAGTCTTTTGGGTGGTGTTTTCTTGGGCGCAGTGATTGTAAGACACAATGTTCTGGTTATTTGTATTTTATATCCTTCTGTGGTTTTTTTTATGAAAAAGAGCTGCCAGCGAAATTTAGAATTAAATTGAAGCTGACTTTAGTGAAATTTTCAAGTCTTTATTGCTCTCTTTCTACATTAAACATGCTCTGCAAATGTTGCCAATGAACATTTCATTGGTCTGCCGCTCGTATTTGGCACAAATTCGCCTCAAATGCAAACTTTCTAAGAACGAGAATGAACGTAAAATTAGAAACTCATGTGAAATTGTTTACCTTCATGAGCAGGAATTCAATTTAGAGGATATGTGAAATTGTATTGAATCTGTCCATCATTTGTGTCCGTTCTCAACACGGTATCATTAGTTAATTTGTGACCATCCAGAGCAAGTAAACAGTCAGAAGAAGGGTTTTTGCACAGTTCTGCAGAAGTTTCTAGAGCTCAAAGGCACACAAAGAGTGCATCACAATTAGGAGAATTCTGAAAAGTGGATGTTCTTTTGCCAAGTGAATTCAGGTGTTGTGAAAACACAAAAAAATGCACTCGAGTGAAAGGGCGGAAGGAGGAAGTTTGAGTGTCGCTTCCTTTCGCTGAAAGACCCACACTTTTCCTGTGCTTCACACCCTCATTTTCTGCCACTGTGACGCAACATCTTGAAGGTTAGAGACACGCAGAGTGTCGGCGGTGTACTTTATTTATCAAAACACGCAAAAAAGAGCGAAGAGACTAAAATTGTATTGAGATGAGAAGCGTCTCATGGCGCTTTTTTCCGCATTTTGCCACACGGAATTTTTACAATGCACAACACGAGGCGGAGGAAGAAAGGCGGCTTTAGTGATTTCATTTGGAGATGATGATGATGAAAAAAAAACTATCACGCAATCTTCTGTAACACTGAAAAATCATTTCACTTTCGCCAACAATTCGCAGAGTTTCCGACGTGCCATCTTACTGGCGTCACAGCCGAAAAGCTGGTGTTATAATCACACAAATCCCACCTCAATTTCCCTTTTCCGTCTCACAATTCTGGCCGTATTTTCTCTGGGAGACATCTTGATGACAAAACTCCTTTGTATAATGCTTATAGAAAGCAAATTGTGATTTGATGTACAATTTTTCATTCGACTTTCCGAAAGAGGGAGAGAGAGAATATGATGAGAAGAAAGTTTGCACTCGTTTTTGCCGCAAAATTGTAGTATTTTGCCATTATGGATGGAATATATGACTTAGAAAATGCGACAACTTACTGAGAGAGATGGCAAGAAAAGCAGGTCGCTGTATGAAAATGTCCGTAATTTACACACTTGATGCAATTTGTGGCTATTGAAACGCCCAAAGTTAATGAAAACCCAGAGTGTTTAATCTAAATCGTGCGGTGCGCAGAGAAAATCTCACCTCGACTCTTAAGTAGGGCGGGAGGAAAGTTTATGACGTAGATGAAAATTTAGAATATATTATATCCAACGACAAAAGAACTTTGCAACGCAATGAGCAGCAATACAAGATGGCATCAGAAAGCCTTTTGAACTTGTATTGCGAACAAATTGATCTTTTTCTCGATTTTCTCTGCCTCTCTTTGTGCACATGCAAAAATTCTGTCCAACAGATAGTAAATCACCATGTGAAAGAACCTTTATGTTACTCATGGACATCAAAGACAATTTTTGTATACTTCTGCAGCACAAGAGTCTCGTTTTATCCCTCTTTTCATCCCTTATTGATACAAGAATGAGTGTCGTTTTTGAAGAGACAATTTCACTGATATGAAAGAGCGAGCTTTGTGCTACACAGAGAGGATTAGCCCAGTGTTGAATGTTTAATCAAAAACTCACTCTTCCAATTGAACGTGATTACTCAACTCTGCGCTCATTAACGTTAAAGATACACGCAAAGTTAAATCATGAACACTTTGTCGAGCCTTTTTTGTTCTTCATGTTCTGAAAACTGAACTTTTCCAATTAATTCTTCTCCGTAATTTCTTTTATTCAAACATTTGTGAAGTGCTTTTTTTTGAAATTTTTGTTAAATTTAATTTCTTTTGTTGTCTTCCAATAAGTCCAAATCAATATTTCAATTTTATTTTAAGTGAAGAAGTAATTTAGTGGGGAACATTTGAAAAAACTAAATCGACTCTGAAGGGTTAAATTTATCTACATAATGCAATATTTGCTGAAGGACAATAAAATGAAGAATATAATTGGTGTTTGCGTACTTAAATTAATCGGATTGAAACAATTTTTGCCTCTAACTAACGAGTATTGATGGGTTAACGCTAATCTTTTAGGTATTTTTATTGATTTATTGTTACGGCATTTCAGATTAATTGAAAGCGCGCTCATTTCACAAGACATCTTCCAAGATCGTTTCAAAACATTCTTGAGATTTCGTTAAAATCTCTTGTGAAAATCATGTTTTTATTCCACAACAGATGCGTAAATACGCACGAAATGTGTTTCATTGTGTTTGTTGCGACCTTTTGGTGTGAAGTGCATTGAAAAAAAAAACTAGAAAATAATGATGACGCGTCAAACACTATTAATTTCATCGAATGAGTTCGAATGAAAAACCCTAATTGATATGTCGACGATGTTTTTGTGGATAATTGGCAGAATTGTCGCAATAATTGGATTCTATGGGAAAACTCTCTTGCGGTTTGTATTGAATTTTTTCTGGTTTGTTTGACTAATTTATTGCACATGCAGGAGAATCAAGGAACGCCCATTGCGAATTGGTACAATGTTGTGTTTGCTAATTGCATCAAAAAGGGAAATGAGATCAAAGGGAAGTGCATGAGGGCCAATATTGCAATTTCCAACCCGTAAAGCTCAGGTTGCGACACACAGTTGAAGGTTCTCGCTAACATACTTGCGGTATTTTAAAATTTAATTGTTTATTCTCGCTCGTACGGGCGCCTTTGCATCTTGTGAGAGCCCAAGAGTCGTGTATTCAATTCTTTATGTCCGCACAAGTGCCTTCAATGTACGATGGCACCGTGTGCAATACCTGTGAGATGGCTAAAATAATAAAAATAGTTGCCATAATCATAAATTTTCTCTCGCTCGTCGCTGGAGCAATTTCTGTATTATGTTCTGGCTTGCAATGAGACATGTTGGAAATGCTTGCGACTGTGTGCGAGCGCAGAAATGAGCGCAATAAGAGATCTGACGCTGTGAAGAGACCGCGCGCTGTTAGATTGTACGTGGAGAGCAAGTACTTGCGGCCTACATTTCTGGACTTTCTTCCAGCAGAGTAATTGTATACTGACCCTTTGTCTCTCCCCTTTGGTGCGCAACTTCCCATCTCGGCCGCATTATTTATTGCCGCTCCTATCTTGTCACACATTGTCAACTACCGGGGAATGCGAGGTGGATTTATGTCCTGCTTCCTCATTGTGAACAATTTGCAATGAACCTTTGCGCCCAGCGTAGAATCCCGAAGAACTATTTGACTCTCTCCCGCCATAGCCAATGCTTTATTGATGACCATCGCCTCGCAATGGCGAATCAATCTTGCTCCATCAATTTCCATTTAGCTCTTTCTCTCTCTCTCTTCTCCCCTGTCCATTGCGCACTTTCGCACGGCAAATCTATCATGAGAAATCAAAGGGAAGTTGGAGTTCAAGGAAAGCACACTCTTGATTAACCGACTTGGCTGAGGAATATTACTCAAAATCATACAAGCATTAAATCTCAATTGAGAAGTAAGAAGTCATTTGTGTGATTTCACTCCAAATAAGGTAGTTTTCTGTGCTAAAAGCACAGAAGAAAGAACATTTCTCCACACAGATTCACTTTGTTCAAACAGATCAATTGTGTTTCTTCACTGTTATTAATTTGCAGATAGAAAATTATTTCAACATTCAGAGATGTTTAGATTTTGAACTGTTTGATTTGCCATAATTCATTAATAGCTATAATTAAATAATGTCATAAATATCCTGGGCAGAGGCGATGGAGCGCAGCATTTTATGGCACGAGCAACTTGTGCGAAAATTTATGACTTTTGCGAGGCGAAAGTGCTTAAATTGACATCTTTATTGGGCAATGAATAGACACAGCTTGACAATTCAAATCATTTTAAAATATTGCTCATTAATTGTTGGACGCAGTGCTGAGGGTGGATTAATTATCAACCCTTTGTGACCATGATTTTCCATTCATAATCGCCGCTAAATTGTGCTTTCACTCCGCGGTCCAAAATTGCCCTTGATCGTCGCGGTGAGATAAAATTGAAATTAGCAGTCAAAGTGCGTTGATTATGTTGTCATCTCACAATGGAGACTCTCTTGCAGCAATTAACTCTTGTTTTGCCGCACCGATGAGAATCTGAAAAAAGCTCTTGTCGCTCCGATTCGACTCTCCCACAACACGAAAGCCAAAGTGTGTGGTTCTCGCAGTGGCGCTCCGTCTCACGCAATCATTGGCAAATTGCATAAGATATGACTTTCGTATACGCGCCATGGGATTCACAAGGGGAGAACATGCACAGAACTGCACACAGCACTGCTCTGTTGGCCAAATAAGCCCAGCAGCTTCAACACCTGCTGTTTGTCACGTGAAAAAAAGTGTCTGCAGGCCCGCGTGGGCCATTAAAGGGGAGTCAGACGTGACCAGAGAGTGTCGCTCTGTGGGCGTCTGGTCGTGATCCAGAGCACATGACCTCATTAGGCATGATCGGCATTGTCGCGATCCTTCAATCATCACCACTTCTTCATGATCGGCGCATAAAGCCAAAGTCATGATCACACTTTCAACACTCACGGGCGCTTGTGGGTGGCTTTCGGGCAGCAGTGCTCGCCGAGAACTTACCCTTGAGATGGACAATTTCGCGGTATCCTCGCGGAAATTGTGCCGATTGAGTGATTGTCCGCTTTTGACGTTTCACAATTCGCAGCGTTCGTCTCTGTACCAAACACTTTGTCTCGAGATCACACACTGACTGACTCCACTTTAGCCATCAGACGTTGGCCAGAGTGCGGCTTAGTGTTGACTGCAAGAGAGTCCATTCCACCGCCAACAGCTCAGGTTGTTGCTTCCACGCAGTGACGTAGCGAGCAAAATGTCTTGAGAGAGCGAAAAGAAACTAACATCTTACTGTCTCTTAGCATGTATTGTATTTATACAGGACATTCGTTCCCTCGTCGAATGGACAATCGCAGGAATTTCCAAGAATTATCGTCATTTTGGGAAAATTGTCGATTTGAATTGAAGTCTTGTGAGCATGTTTAAGATCTATTTTCGCAATTACTCGACGTCACACACTCGCTACGCCACTGCTCGCCGTCTGCGCGATGGTGAGGTGCCAAGGGGGCAATCAGGTAGATATCTTTTCACTTGGAGAATTTCGAGCCATCGCGGGCCATGTGTATCTGTCAGCGTGGCTGTGTGTGAGTGTTACTTAAAGAATGGGGAGTGGGATTCCTATTCTTCCGTTGAGTAAACAGAAAATTCATTGATCAGTCACAATCGTTTCTGGAAGTGCTCCTCAGAGCGGCGTGCAATAAACATTCAGCCATTCTCTCCTCTCCGCGACTCCGCGAGTTAATTATTCATGAAATTGACTCTATATAGATATGGATGTTTGCCCGATGAAAAAGCTTCTACTCAATTGCTCTTCTTCTCTTCTTTTCCTCATTTTTCCATGCTACCGATGATGCGTCGTGGAAAAACTCGCAATCGTGCTGCTCGCGAATCGCCAAAATTCACCGTTCAACGCGATTAGGATCAGGTAAGTCAGCACCGCAAAATTACCTTCTTCTCCACTATTATACACAAAAATAATTGCACCCAAAGAGAGTCAGAGGATGAAAACACACCTTCCATAATTTTAATTTCTCTCTAAATGAAGCAAGACACTTGTATCATCGGGAAAAAATTGCTAAATTGAGGAAATCTACCCGTATTTTTGCCTCACTTTAAACTGCGAGTAGAAATAAATTTCACTCTTGTTTTTTCCTCTCGTCTTAAATTCCTTTTACATAACAACACAAATTGTTGTACGAATTGTGATCGTCTGATGAATTAAATTGTTTCTGTAAATAGTTCAACATGAGTTTGTGTTTGAAATATGAAACGAAATGAAAAGAGAAATGATAGAAATTTACAATGATGATAGAGATTAAAGATGATTTTGTGAGTCTTCATCGTTGAATTGTAAAAAAAAATGTTCCGCAAATGGGCAAAATGCATAGTAATTGAGAAAATTATAATATATATTTCATTCTCTTATTAGATAATGAATTTATTGTCAAATTACAGAGTTAAATAACTTAGAAAATGTTGCTATAGAAGAACCTAGTGATGCTTCAAATAAGTCTTCCTTCCTTTCTTCCCCCCAAAGTAAATCACTTTTCGTTGATCTCTAATGTTGTGAATATGAATTTTTCATGTTATCCCTTCATTGGTTTTTATTTCACTATATAAATACATAATATGAAACTAGTTTCCGTCCACTTAATTGAGACATTCTTTTTATATATAACTAGACTCTGTTTCATAGATCTGAAACCTTTTCGTCTGTTCTTCTTCACTTTGCTAGTCAATGAGATTTTACATTAAGACATTCATTCTAGAGAAAAATTTCTTTGTAGTTATTGCTAGGGCATTTTGTTCTTAATTGTTTTCTAGGGGGGCTACTTTGAAGGGATCCGATCACATTTGGGTGGTCTGACTCAGCGTGTCAAGTCATGGTACTGGGGACGACCTCTCGTAAGTGCAATTAATATAGAGAAATGATTTTGTTTATTCAAACATGTTTTATCACTTATGGTTTCCTTCTTGACTGATAAAAGTCTGCTTCGTCAACAGTTTTTCTGTGTAAAGATTTTTCTTTTCAGTTCCTATTTGCCGTGCCTATAGAATCTCTGATCATTTTTCATCGAAATGTCAATTGAATGCATATTAACACTGGCAGAAAATTTCTGGCTTTCTCAATTACTTCTCAAAATATGCTTAAAGTTTTTAACAGCGTCTGTATTTCATCAGGCCTTTTTATAATGTTCTGATAAATCTAGTGTTAATATGCTTAATATTTCCAATCAGGAATATTTTCACTCAATATAGAACTCAAAACAGAATCAAAAACGTATCAAATTGTCGTGTTTTACGCGCCTTTTGAAAAGCTCTTCGCACTGTTTTCTCTCTATTGATTCCTCTATTAAAGAAAATGATCACAGGTAAGCTCGTGGAGCACGGTCAATCACATTTTCTCTCATGGTTTAATTATCTTTATTTGTCACTTTGAAAATGTGTCCATTTGCTTCTCGAATATTGGCCACGTAGAACATTTTTGGATGCTTCTTTTAACACAATGAGTTGTCTTCACCGAGTTTATTTTTTTGATCAATATTGTGTTTCATTTTGATCTCCCCTTTTTTGTCAAATGACAAAATGTGGCTTGACAGTTCTTAATCTAGTGAAATTTGCATGAACCATAGACAGTTTTATTGTCATTTCTTCACATAATAAAGCAATTCTCTCAAAGAGAAGTTAAAAAAAGAGTAAATAAAATTACATGATACACTCCAAGAAACACGAGGGTTTCTCAAGTTTTTTTCTATTCTTTTAAGTGATTTTTCGTTTCCCCGCTAAATTTAATATTTTTCCAGTATTACCATATTTTTATTTTTTACCAATTCTGTAGACAATTTTTTCCATGATTCTTTCCATTATTGATAAATGGACACTCTTTTTTTCCTTCCTTTCTGTTCTGATTAGTATTTTTCCAATGTATTTCCGGGAGTTGTGAATTAAATTTTTCAATTTTCAACCTAACAAATTGACGAATAAAACTAAACATGAATATTCTAAAAAGACTACAGAAACATTTTTTCAATATAATTGCACTTATCGCATGAGGCACCCACAATCTTTTCAAGACCAATTTTCTCATTGATCAATATTGACTTGATGACTTTATGCCTTTTTACTATAGATCATAGCGAATGTCACATTTCACAGACAAAAGCGGCGAAAAAAGTGTTAAAGCGAAATGTTAATAAATGTCCCAATGTAAGGAGTAAAATATGCGACAACAGCATCATTTCTTAGCGTTCATCTGATAGTCTGTACATATTATTTCCTCTGTATTCATTTACTCAAGTTAGTTTCATTTTCTTCATGTGTTTTCTAGATGTGTTTCTAAGTAGAACAATTTTTAGTGTCTCTTCAATTCTGCATATAAAATAGCATTTAGTGAGCGCGAGCTGAGCTAAACATTTAGAAGCTGAGAAACTTATAACCATCAGAAACCACAGAGAGTTCACATGAAAACCCCAACTTCAGTACACTTCTTTTTGTTTGTTTTGTTCCATTCAAATAAGAGGTGTAATTGCTAGATAATTCCTTTTTGCCTGCCTCACAATTCGCTATATTGTTTTTCTGTGTACAATCTGTCGATTATGTACAGTTGGTGACAAAATAGTATAATCAAATTCCGCTCAAAATACTCAAATGTATTCAAAGCACAGTGAAAAGTTAGTCTTCAGGCAATAGTTTCTACCTCTTATCGCCTTCCAAAGAGTTCGAAGTACCATTAATTTGCCAGCAGAAGCATTGTTCTTGAGCTAATGTCACACACTGTGTCGAAATACGCGAAGAAACATTTCTTCGTCTGCACTGAGTTGAAGCGAAAAAGTGTCACGAAGTCGATTATTCAACCACACACTTTTGCCGAGTTAAATTAAAAATTTACTTTCACTGCAAACCAAAAGCTTGTGTTGAAGAAGCAAAAGTCGAGACGAGAAAGAGAGAGAGAGAGAGAGAGAAGTAAAATTGTCCAGCAACAACTTGAGCAATGATTGATGATTACAAACAAATTATCTGTTGTTAGAGTTGGCAAAAGAAACAGAAAATGCTATCTATGTTAATCACGATGGCAAATGAAGTGAATTTCTCCCTTTTTTTCTGTCTCCTCTCCCTGTAATTTATCCAACACACCCAATCACACTCTCTCGGCATCTTCAACCGGTTGACGCACGTCGAATGCATCCCATAAATATTTATTTTCCCTCTCTGTGAAGCCTGATCACCACGTGGGGAGCTTTTGCGTGTTTGTCTCCACTGTCGCGGGAAAGGGGCGAAAAAATTATCTCCTTCTCTGTAGATTTGTCTTGTCGTTTTATGATCACTTTGCATCACCAGAAGTTGTCACAAATGTAATTATCCAAGGCTCGTCCGCAAAGTGAATGAGCAAAGACGAGCGAAGAAGTGACTTTTGCAGCAGCACAAGATGATGAAAGTGGCTTTATTTCTAGAGTAATGTGATTGCCATTCGCGGAGAATAGCGCGGAGAAATGTGGCGCGCGGCAACAAGTGAAATTATCTCTCGCTGCCTCTTGCAGGAGTTGGCCACGAAGTTGTCCCGGAGCTTCGATATGAAGGAGGACAGCGGCGGCCTGCTGGGCGACAAGGGCGTGCGCCGCCACCAGTCCATGCAGCGCCTGTCGCTGGAGCAGAACGGCTCTGGGGATCCGCAGAATCCCGACCACTGCGCCAGCGTTGTACCTGACCAGCGAGGCAATCTGCACATCACGGTGAAGAAGTCGAAGCCAATTTTGGGCATCGCCATTGAGGGTGGCGCCAACACGAAGCACCCACTGCCGCGCATCATCAACATTCACGAGCACGGCGCGGCTTACGAGGCCGGCGGCCTCGAGGTGGGCCAGCTGATACTCGAGGTGGACGGAAACAAGGTGGAGGGATTGCACCATCAGGTGAGCTCACTGTGTCACGCTGGAAGACAAGTTTTGCCGCCTTATGCGGAGTGATAAGACGAATGAGTTCGAAGGAAATGAGTTCTCTAACCCGCGATTGGGACGATAAGACAAACTGCTGCTGCTCAAGATGAAATTGCGATGAATTAAGATAAAGCTAAGCAGAAAGATGTCGTAAAGAATTCAGAGCATATTAGAAAAATGCAATTAAGTTCAGAAAATGAATTAACTTTGGGACATTTTGGAGCTAAAATTGATGTGTAAAACATACTTTTTCAAGCGGCGAATTATGATCTTTAAGAAGGCAATCAAGTTTTGCGAATGACCTCACAAAATTTAATATCAAATAGATCACCTTATTTTCAAATCGAGGTTGAATTCCACAATAGAAATTGCCTGTAATTGAAGTGCAACAAAAAAAAAACAGAGAAAAGCTGTTTGAAGTTCAAAAATTGCTGCATGCAAATGACCTTTGTGAAATCAATCAAGTGCCTCGCAATGATCACGGTCGATTGTTGAGCTCATTTATGATGTGTCTGCAATGTGAAAGTCGAATTTCTCACCGCGTGATTATGCTTTGTCTCCACAGGAAGTGGCTCGCCTGATTGCCGAGCGCTTCGCGAGCAGAGAGAAGCCTGACATAACCTTTCTCGTGGTGGAGGCCAAGAAGTCCAACATGGAACCGAAGCCCACAGCACTGATATTCCTGGAGGCCTAACATTTGCTTGCCCTGCCGGCTAGCGATCCTCGCAATCCTGAGCCACCGCAGGAGGGGATCGACCTTACCGCGTACCAGACCGCCAAATAACTCTTCTGTATCCTTTCACCTGTCCTTTCTTCTCTCCCCTGACTGTCTTCGTCCCTGTCTTACTTTCTGTCTCTGTCTCGAAGTTTTTAGACGCAAAGAGGAGCAACAGAGTGTTGGGATCTCGCTTGGATGTGTAGGAAAGAAGATGTGTTGTGTGAGCATGATTTTGCAAGAGGATAATGAAAAACCAAAGATGGAACATTTTCCCCAATTAATTGCGGGTGAAGTGTGAAAGATGACGCAATTGGCTGCTCATCAGCCTAAGAGCGGAAGAAACTGATGCAATTGTGCACAATAAATGTAAATAATGTTGATCTTAGAGCTTTTCTGTGTGATTTACAATTTACTTAATGTGTCACTCAGTTGAGCTTTCGATATTATCGTGTGACTAGAAGCTTTTCCGTTGAGCCCTCGATCTTTTTCCACACACAAACTTTCATTTCTCGTAGATGTCTCTTCGTCAAACCCTCTCATTTCTACAACATCATTTCTCTTACTGTGACGCGGTAAATGTTCTTATGACACCCATAAGGACAACCATGTTTATAAAGATATTCTAGCCGACAGGGTTGAAAGAAAATTACACCTCTAAAATAAGCGTAAATGATACGAAAAAAAATTAGCATTTGCAATCGCCAAAATTATATGAGAAAGATAAACATTTGAAAGCAATTTGGACATGCAAATTAGAAAACATATTCACACACTTATTTAAAGGAAAAAAAAATTCTCCACACAGAGTTTGTATTAAAGAGAAAACATGTGAAAAGCCTTCAATATTTGTACCTTCAACACACTACAAGAGTATCACAATTCTTCCTAAATATACAAACATTTGAAAGAAATAATAGACGAAGAAGGAAGTGTTCGAATCTTAAGGATAGAACAGTCAGGAAAGTGATTATGTGAATATGATTTCTTGGAAAATCTAACAATTGTGTGATAATCTCACCTTTCTTCACATGTTTTTCCAACACTAAGTTTGAAAAAAAAAGTTTTTCGTGAGCAATCGCCAAAAATACACAAGTTATTACGAAGAAAGATATCCAATTTGAAAAGAAAAAAAGACATTTGCATCTTGACTAGTCAAAAGAAATTAAAAAAAAGTTTAATAAAAGTCAGGAATATGAACATGAATATATATTTGAAATTATGTGACTATGTTTTTCACAAGCCAAAATGCATTCTCTAAGATAAACCAAAAAAAACCAACACAATTCAGAGTCATTCGAATGAAAAACAGAAGAAAAATTCAATAACAGAAATGTTCTGAGAACTGCAAAATAAAGATTAAATGATAAATTAAGGCAACAAAGCTAATAAAAGGAAAAACTTTTTAATAATTAATGTGTAAATGGGAGCTTGCTAAATCGAATTAAATAACATCATTTTCCATTCACTACTAAACAGACTCACTTTTATCACATTGTATGTAATATAAAATGAAAATTAATTCAAAAAAATGGACGAGAAGAGAAAGAAAATTATGAAAGTATTAATGCCTCACGTAATTCACTCATTCCTCTTGTATAAAATGAGAGTTTAAGTATAACAGAATGGTGACTTCATTTTATTAGCATTAAATCTGCAGCTCATTAGTCATATGCTGTGTTCAAAATTTGGCGCAAAACTACTATATTAGAGAATCGCGATAGCAAAGATTGATAAAATTATTGCTGTAAAAGTTGCGCAATACAATTTCTTAAAGTCACATCTCTTTTTCTTTCGTCTTTGAATGTAGTGGTAAAATTAAACTACGTGAAATTGAACAGCTAAGAAAAGATGCATTAAGAAATCATAAGTAACTATTGATTGCAGTGAGATGATTAACAGAAGAGGATATTGAGAAAGAAAAACGATTATATAAATGTGAAAATGCCTTTTAAAGCTCGTTTTATTGACAAAGTATAAAAGAAATTTTAAAGTAATGAATCGTTATGAAAAAAATTGGGTATAAAATATTTGAATTGAAACAAACAAAAACATAAGTAAACATCAATTTAAATATTTTAAGCATATTGCAAATTTTGCTATAGTCTGCTAATGTGTAAAATAAATATAACAGAAGTAATAAGAAAAAAAAACAAAAAAAACATTATAAAAAAGAATGAAGCGATGAAAGGGTTGAAAACATTATTTATGTACCAGTAATTGTCGATAATGAACAAGAATAAACAAGAGAAATGTAGAAGGAGAGACGCTGTAATTAAGTAGATTTTTTTATATAAATTATAAAATGATTACCGAGAGGAAGGAATTAAGAAATAGAAATAGTCAACGCATTTATTCGTTGTTACTTTATTGCCTCATAAATGCTTCTTAAAATGCCATTCGAAAGTACATTTAAAAGTATAAAGAAATGAGCAAATTCTAACATTAAATCCCCTTTTACAAATTCTCCTTTTTGCTTTCGTCTCCTTTTCGGTTTGTTCAAAAATTGCCAGAGCAATTTACATATTTCAACTCAAATTGATCTCAATTTTTTCCTAGGAATTACACACACAAAAGAATCTTTACAAAATAAATCAAAAAGACATTCTATTCTAAAAAGTGTATCACAAACAAAATTATATACATCTAAACACCACCGATCTTCACTTTTCATTTGTAAGAAGATAAAGAGAGTCTAGAAAACCTCCTTAGAGTCACATTTCTTTTCATTTTCAAAGAGGAATAAAAGAGATATCATGAAAATATTGCTTAAAGAAAAAAAAGGATTTTAATGGTGAATAATAGAGGGAATATTAATAGACTTTTCTAATTTATTTTTTATAAGGATATATTTTTAGGAGGCACGCAACCTCAGCCGAGGACTGTGCAAAACAATGGTGAGAGTGAATTTCACGTGAGTCTTATGTAAATTTGACGATGAACAATGTTAAATAGGAAGATAGACAGGATGAGAAAATCAATCAGCATCAGGAGACTTTTATCCAAAACGTCAGAATGTTTTATTTCCAAGACTATAAAGTGACAGATTACCAAGATTCCAGTAAAAGAAAATAAACTATACGCATTAATATACTTATCATTGAAGCAATTTTGTACATATTGTGTATATATAATTGAGATTATTATGTAAAATTACTAACAAATGGATACTGAGTGAAATAGAACAAAACAGAGCAAGTTTGCTTGTGATTACAAAAGTGAAATAGAATTGAGAAAACATCGCAATTTTCTTTCCAAAAAAAAAAGAAATTCCATAAAATCATCCAAATATTTACTTTCAAATAAATCAGAACATTTTAAGCATCAATTTACATGACAAGGTATAAAAAATTCGAATGAAGAATATTTTCAACAGATTGGAAAAGAAGTGAAAACCATCAAGTAATGTAAAATTGTGAGTCATCGCGTTTGAGAAATGTTAAGTTTCATCTTATTATCTATTAACATAAATGAAGATATTAAAAAAGAACTTGTTTATCAGTGATGAAAATTCACAGGATTATTATTAGATAATAAAACTGTTTATAAAAATATAAAAATTCAAATTTGTCTTTTCATTCCATTTTTCTCCATTTTTTTCACAATTTCAGAAAGTTTGACTGTGTCCAAACTGCTCTTTTGTTTATTACTAAGATTTCATATCATCATCTCTTTAATGACTTTCGCGTGGTGTTGTCTTCTCTCGTGTGGATTATTTAACATGAGGAGAAGAGGAAGAGTTTCATCACATTGTGTGACATCACACGAATTGGTTTGACGAGCCTCCGAATGCGTCTCGCTGGTTATGGTTGATGAATCTCATTAGACGTGAGTTATTTTGACAAGAGAGACTCGGCCACTCTGCATATGCTAATGGCGAAGTGTAACCCAAAACAAGATTGGCGGATTACGAGCAAGAAATTCGCCCAATTTCATAATAAAACTTGTCATTTTAAGGTTACGCGGAGAGAAGAAGCTCCTCCACTTTGCTCCCACGGCAGCTTTCAGCCCATCAATTCCGTGGCCTAAAATGTCAGCAAACTGAAGGGATTTTCCGTCATTTGTCAATTTCTCACGCCACTTCTGCTTGAATCTCATCCAAAATTTTCCAACATCCACTCAACATGCACGAAGTTCTGTCGTGAAATCAAGTTACACTTGTTGTTTATCTCTTTGGCGCGCTGTTGAAAAATATATTCTTTTCTTGACGACAAACAAGGTGTCCAGTATTTAAATGAGACTTCTAACTGCGAATTCACTTTCAGTGCCGTCAGTATCATCGCGCAGGTTGAACGTGGAAAATTCAGTGCAGTGTGACAATGCCGCAGGCCTTGAGTGAATTCCTGAGCGACAGAGACAAAGCCGTGCTCGATTCCATCTTCAACCCCTTCCAAATTGGCGGCGGAGCCGAGCAGGGCGTGGATTGGAACTTCGACGAGGGCCTCTCGGATGACGTTCAGGATCCGTACGAGGAGCCGACGCCGGAAGTGCAGGAGTCCGTGAGGAGGGAAATACAGGCGATCAAGTTGGCAGAGTGTGGAGATTTGGCCAAAGCTGTGAGCTTCAGGGGTGGTTTAAAAGCAATTGCGATGTTTTAATTTCTGACTTTGCGGCAGGTTGATGTTTTCTCTAGCGCCATAGAGGTGGCGCCAACGCGGCGTGCGCCATGGAACAATCGAGCACAGGCTTATCGACTTCTCGGGAACGATCAAGGTGTGTGTCTTGAAATAAAGGTTCATTCACGATGATAAATAGTTTCGACAGCAAAGCTATGTCTGGCAGCAAATTATGTTTCATGCAGACTTATCTCATGAATAACATTCAATATAAACTAATAATAAACATGAACACTAAAAGCTTGTCTGGTCACCACTAGAGGCGCTACTGATGAAGATTGCTAACAATCTTGATAGAGTTTCTTTATATCTCAACATTTTTACGAGAATAAGGCTATCAGAATCTTCAGAAATGATAAAAAGATATTAGGCCACGCCCACTCAAACGCTCCGCCCATTGTTTTAGAGCAAGACGAGTCTCTGCTATTCCTAATAGCCTTCAATTCTTTCCAGCTGCTCTCGCTGATCTTGAGATGGCTCTTCAGTTGTCTGGCGGCACAGGTCGGACAGGATGTCGCGCCCTGTGCCAGCGAGGTCTTCTTCATCGCAAGAATGGCGACGACGATGCCGCTCGCGATGACTTTAAGGCCGCCACAAATCTCGGGAGCAAGTTCGCTCGTGGCCAACTGATCGAGATGAATCCGTACGCGGCGCTGTGCAATCAAATGCTGCGCGACGCTTTCCAGAAGCTCTCATGAGAAGGGGGCCGAAGAAGAGCACGAATAAATCACACTTAATCACTTCCCAATGTTTGTCTTCCCTACATTTTCGCAAATCCCAATTTTCAGCCTGCGCGGATTATGGCAGTTAATTAACGACTATTTTATTTGCACTGATGAGTCGCCCTGGAAATGCGCGTCTGCGCGCGCAGGGTCGACAAATTCACCTGTTCTTGTGTCAATGGAAAAGGTGGGAAAAGGCACGTGTCGATCTGCGGATTCTGACCGTTCATCAGGGCACTGCGCGAAACGCGTAATAATCGCTTTCAATTTATTAATTCATGTGAATTATTCGCAGTTGCTCGTTGAGGTCAAGCAAATATTATATGATATAATCTTCAGGTGGCGATGCATTTTCCGATGTCCTTCACTGTTAACGAGTGTCTTCAACGCAATTTCTTTTTCACCGTTCCCGCCAATCCACGTGCCATGCAATCATCCTCTATAACATCTCGTTTAATTTTAGCACGCAAAATTGCTCAATTCCCAATGCGGATTTGGCAAAATTAGCACCAAACAAAGACCCATTTTCCCTTAGTGCACATCAAACCCAAGCAGAACGAAGTGACTCTCTGGCTTTGTGGGGCTTCGAAGGTGAATTGTAAAGTGGATTAGGAGGGCTTGAAGAGAGGTGGATAAACTCTGTGCCACTCTTCAAATGCATCGACAAACAAATTGGATTTGAAAAGCTTCTGGAAGCTCCACTGATTTATCCGCACACTTTTCCATCCCTTTTTCACTGTTCTTCCACACAAGCATTGAACCCAAAGTGGTGACGATTTGTGGAAGGAAGCAGAAAAGCAGCACCTTTCCCCCTTCCCTCAGCATTGCATATATTAATTGTATGCGATTTTTTCCTCAGTTGCACTTTAATTTCCAATTAACCCGAAGATTGAAGTGACGACAGTCACTGTCATTCTCTTAATTTACCTCAATGGTTATTAGTGAAATTATGGGGCCATCGAGACACTCCCGTGTGCACTTTTTTTTCGGTAGGCATTAGTTGTAAAAGTCCCAGCGGCAAGGAAAGTGTCCGAACGATACATACTTGGGGAAAAAGTCCATAAATTTCTTATCACATCTGTCACTTTTTGCTCCAGCAGCACGTGTACCAAGAAGGGCTGCACAAGAGGAATTGAGTGCAATTGAAGGAAGATAATTAATATTGAACAGCGAAAAGAGGCTCTTGACAATGAACTCTTGTATTAATTGGGCTGCTTTCCTTCTGTCGTGCGACTTTAAGGCTATCATTCAGTACTTTTTTGGCACTTTACTGTATTTAGCAATATGCTTTCGTGAAAATACAGGTATGAATTCTTGTTACAGATATAACTCAAATTTCCTTAGCAGCGGAAAAAGCTTAGTTTGTCAGATTCATTAATTGAAATTCACCTCACATGCACAAATATTGGGCCACATTTTGGTGCAATTAATTCTTCTCTCTTCAGCTTTTTTTTTTTATTCTCCTTACAAATCCTGATACGATCTTGCGACGGTTGCGGCGAAGGCTCGCGCGCGCTTTCCCTCCAAATGTTCTCCTCTTCCTCTAGCACACGCTCTCCTGCTCTTGCTCCCTTTTTTTCCTGTGATCATGGCTTGAGGTGCAGCACGTGTGCGGAGAAGCTTCACGAGTCTGCCATATGGAGTAAAGTGATTTTGGGCGAAATTAAAAATTTGATTGAGTTTCGAGGGTGCGATCAGCGTTTTTATGCGTCTGAGCGTCACCCAGAATTTGGGGGGTGGAATCACAAATTGATCACTGGTCATCCCTTCACAAGCTGCCACATCGTGACTCGATCGATTTTCACAGATGGCTGATCTCGCTATTGTAAGCATGAGTTATGATATCAATCAATTACCGACAGTTCAATTAATTAGACACTAACACTCTTTTCGTCAATTGCATCCCAATTTGCAGTTGATATGTGCAAAAATACGGGAGAAAATTAATAAATAATTGAGGGATCGGGGTAAAAAAGAAGGTGAACACAATGGGCGAATAAGAGAATGCAATTTGCCATCTGTACAGTATGAATGTCGGCGTTACAATCAGTGATCGTGTGTGATCATTATTTATCTCTCTCACTTGCACTACTTTTTCACCTCCTTTTGCTATTGACGAGGAATTGTCCTCCTGCGAAAGCAGTCTGTCTATAGGTGTCACTTGAGGCCTCATGCGCAGTGCGTACAGATCTTAGGAAGGTGATGATCATCACCTTTCCTCAGGCAAATTGTCGTCCCCGTTATTCGCTGCCAAATGCCGGGGTGAATCTGCCGGTGCATCCACCTTGTCGCGGCTGAAAGGCATTCTGAGCCGCGCAGCAAACTTCCCGAATTCACTGCCTCTTTGTCAATTATCAACATTTTTATTTCTGAAGCTGATTTTTCGGGGCGCCCAACATGTGCCACGCACAGCGACTGTCTCGGGGGCTCTGCGGAGGAAAGTAATTTCGTTTTTATTATAGTTGCTTCCGCAAAAATGCGCCCGCCGCACGATAGCAAATGGCCAATGTGGTGCAGCGTGAAGCAATCGGTGCACTTTTCGGAGTGCATTGATCGCCAGAGAGTCAATGTGATGGGCAAAAGGGCACTATTGTGCCGTTTCTTCGGCTGGAAACGCACATTGAGGCCAACGCCAGCAATAATTTGCGCGTGCATTGACTTCCCCAGGCCAGAAGGGTTGCCTCGCCTTTGTGGGTCCAAATCGTCCAAATGGCTGAAACTCTCGGATCACTTCAATTGCACCTTATGTTGCCACTCGCAATTGGACTAAGTTATGGCCGCTCTTGAGGCTTTTCTCCCAATTATACTCATTTCTGTCATCACGGCAACTAATAGTATTCCCACAACAACAGCTCATTCACACCACATCTTGTTAAGGAAACATTGGAACAATTTTAGCCACGAATTGACTAATGGACAAGTGGCTAAATGATGTGAAACATTTTAGTTGATGACGTTTGATGCTTAAGGGCAAAAATCTAGACTCGTAGGCGATCTTGGTATTCAGCAGTGTCTATATAGTTTGTGGCTGGGAAGTAGCGGCGCTCCTGAACCGCTGCTGCCTGGCGGGAAGATTGTCGTGGCCAGAACAGCCCCTGAGGGTTGAGAGACACATGTCTCAAATCAACGGGAAATTATTAAATGCTGCACTGAAATCCTCAATTTACGGTGACACTGAAATTTTCGAATGCCCTCTCTCTGTCATTTTCTCCCCCTTTTCCCCTCTCACATGTCCACTGTCTGTTCCGTATCTGAATGGGAAGAGAGAAACGATGATCGTCAGTTGGTTGTTTTAGGACGCGTGCCCTAATAATAATCGACATGTGTGAAACGGACCATCTCTGCAGCATATACACTATACATATATCGTGCTTGCGAAGCGCCTCTGTCATGGGGAAGACGCGCAGAGGCGAAGAGAAGCATTTTCTGTACAAATGAACTTGACAAGGAAGGGGCGAAAAAGGAAGACGCTTCGCGTAACATAATGCATTTGGAGGGAAACTTTTAATTCCGCGTCCAATGCACTCTTGAGACTCGCGCACTAAAGTGCGATGATTGCGAATAAGAGATTGTGTTGATTTTTTTCCTTCCTTCTTCACTCTCTTGGCAAACCTTCTGTTTTTTCGCGTCTTCCGCCCCAAACCGCGCGCGCACTGTGATGGCATTTTGCCATAGGAAATCCAGGCAAAGAGTAGGCAAAATGTCGTTTGAATGGCAAAATTTCCAAGTGAAATCATTTTGTGAATTAATAAGCCAATAATTATTATTTTATCATGACAAAACAATAGAAGAAATGCTACAACGGCCAAGAGACTTGGGGACCCACTTTAATTGTTTCTCTCCGTGCAGACCCATTGAAAGCTCCGCACCAGCGATCAAATGTTCATAAAATTCATATAAAGTCTGAAAGTGATCTTGGCGATAGCCAGATTTGTACGGCTGGCATTTTTTTCCCTTGCCGCCCATGCGAGGATCGGAAGCTGGGTCGCAAGAGTGCGCCGAGTCGCAAAGCTCCCCCAGAGTATTAATACTTGTCAACAAATGCATGTGATTCATTATTGCCACAGACCGGGTATTCAACTGTTGCCGCATGAAAATTATTAATCGACTCACTATCAACAATTGTGCGCGTTCGTGGCGCAAAAATGGGAACTTCTTGGGGAACTTGTGGGTGTTTTCACCAATGCTCCAGCATGCAACATTGCCTGGGAGGTCTAGATATTGTTACTAATAGATTTCCCCAATGCGCAGCTCATCAGCACTCGAATCTCTATTCAAATATGACTCTCACATCCAATTTTAGCTCACTGCGCAAGTGTTTTCTATACAAATATTTGCCACAACAACTTTTTGGCAGGTTTATAGTTCGTATAAATTGAGGATCTTTAATTTTAATAAACACAGACTGAGCCTCAAAGGTTGCACTTTGGAATCACACATCCCACAAAGTGTCGAACTCTATCCTTTTCTCCTTAAGATGTGACTTCACTTAAGTGCAATTACCTCCGTCCTGACCCACATACCGATAATCTTATCTCAGAGGTTCATTGAGAGACAATGAATACGCGCTAGAAATTGGTAGAATGACGAAATAAAAGTGCGATTTCCTGAATGATTGCAGTCGATCTCGCGTAAGTTCACGTGGCGTCGCATGACTGCACAATTGCCAGCGCTCCCGAATGCGAGTCTTGGGATTTAAGATGACTGTGTGCAGTAAATTGTGGGCTAAATTACTATTCACAATGTGGTACGCGAGAGTGGTGAGAGCATGTTTTAATTTTCATATTTGATTTGGCTTCTGTGTGCGCAGTTGTGAGCCAAAGCTAAAATAGGCGCCGCCAAAGAGTCCACGGTTTTCTGCATCTATTCGGACAGATATTAGCCACTGATTACATTATTATTGTTGCGATTTTTCTATTATAGTCGCATTGCCTGGCAGAATCTAATTTTACTGCCTCACTCGCATTGTGCATGTCTTTTTGCAAATATATACATGTGAATGAATCTCTAATTCACTG